ACATCCATGATGAAAAAGTTTGACTGTTTCTAATAAAATTTAACTACACTTGCCATACGATCCAGAAATTCTACTCCTAGTTCTTTAATCCCCCAAAATGAAAACAATGTTCCTAAAAATCCTTGTACAAGAATGTTCATAGTAGTTTTATTTATAATTGCCCCAAACTGGAAATAACATATGCCCATCAACAGCTGAACTGATAAACCAATTTTGGTATAATCATACAATAAAACAAAAAGGAATAAAAAAGAGCACATTATGCATATTTGTGTCAATATGGATGAGTCTCAAACAATGCTGAATGAAAGAAGCCTGACACAAGAATACACTGTGTGCAATTCAGTTTTTATGAAACTCTAGAAAAACTGAATCTAATCCATGCTGACAGAAAGCATACTGGTGGTTCCCTGGGCCATGGTCAGAAAGAGGCATAGAAATCTTGTGACTGTGATGGAAATATACCACATTATGACTGTGGTCATGATCATACAGGCATATACCTCTGTGAAAACTCAGTGACATGCATGTAAAATGGATCCTTATGATATGTAATTATACCTCAATAAAATTGAATTAAAAAAAAGGAAGAGCTTATTTAGTATATAATGACTATATGCTCTAACAATATAGATACAACACAATCTTTTTTTTAAAAAAAGTAGAGGGGCGCCTGGGTGGCTCAGTCGGCTGAGCATCCGACACAGGTCATGATCTCACGGTTCGTGGGTTCGAGCCCTGCGTGGGGCTCTGTGCTGGCAGCTAGCTCAGAGCCTGGAGCCAGCTTCAGGTTCTGTATCTCCCTCTCTCTTTGACCTTCCCCTGATCATGCTCTCTCTCTCTCTCTCTCAGAAATAAATAAAACATAAAAAATTAAAAAAAAAAAAAGTAGAGGAAAACAGGGAGATCATACAAAAAAATTTTGTACAGAACAAGCCTCATAGGTTACCACAGTGACTCAAAAAGACTCAAAAGCCATGGGGCGCTTGGATGGCTCAGTCGGTTTGGCCTCCTACCTCAGCTCAGGTCATGATCTCGTGGTACGTTGAGTTCAAGCCACGTGTTGGGCTCTGTGCTGACCACTCAGAGCCTGAAGCCTGCTTTGGATTCTGTGTCTCCCTCTCTCTCTGCCCCCCCGCCCCCCCACTCTGTCTCTCTCTGTGTCTCAAAAATGAATAAACGTTAAAAAATTGAAACAAAAAGGACTCAAAAGCCAGTATGAAGAACTGTCACTGGCTAAAGATGGTATTGTTTGAGCTTTGAAAAAGTAACTGCAGTGGACTAAAACCCATTAAACATGTTTAATTCTATGATTTAATAATAATATTTTTAAAAAAGAAAACACCAATCAACTTTGAAGAATAAGAAGGAATTTTTTGAAACTGGCATATAAGGGGAAAGAATCAAGTATTTTTTTTCTGCTACATGAACTGAGGAACCAAAGAGATAAGGGAAAGCATATCTTAACAAAATTATTCCAACTAATAAATAATAATAAGTGACACAACTAGAATTCTACAATCCTTGCAAAGCACAGTGAATGAACTGACTAGGCACTGAGCACAAATTGCTGCAAACACCACAAAAAAGAAACAACCAGACATTATGTCCCACCTGATTAAAGAATACAAAATCTATGTGTTGAGTCCCTTTGGCCATGACTAATTCTGATCAAGCTTCCAGATCCCAATGACAATTTGTAAGAAATACAGAGAAAAGAGGAACATGTTGAACATCACTTCTAATAAACAATCAAAATCTAGACTGTGGGAACTTTGTAAGTCAAATGACCCAAGTTCTTGAAAAGTTCAAGGAAAAGAAAGGAACTGGGGAGGAACTTGTAGATTAAGAGTCCATTTTTATCAAATAAAAGTGTCCAACATATATAACCCATCACAATTTTTTTGTTTTGAATATACAAAGAACTGTCACACATCAATAACAAAAAGAAAATCCAACAGAATAAATGGCAAAACTTGAACAGTTTATTCATAAGAAATGACCAATTAGCATATGAAAATATAGTCTTATTTTATTTTTTTAAATGTTTTATTTATTTCTAGGAGAGAGAGAGAGAGACAGCGTGAGCAGGGGAGGGTCAGAGAGAGAGGGAGTCACAGACTGAAACAGGCTCCAGGCTCTGAGCTGGCAGTCAGCACAGAGCCCGACGCGGGGCTCGAACCCACGAAAGGCGAGATCATGACCTAAGAGAAAGTCGGACGCTTAACCGACTGAGCCACCCAGGCGCCCCTATAATCTTATTGTGTGTGTGTGTATATATATATATATATATATACACACACACATTCTAGATTGTTTAAAACTGAAATGGGGGTGCCTGGGTGGCTCAGTCGGTGGAGCATCCGACTTCGGCTCAGGTCATGATCTCACAGTTTGAGTTCGAGCCTGACACCTGGCTCTGTGCTGACAGGTCAGAACCTGGAGGCTACTTTGGATTCTGTGTCTCCCTCTCTCTCTTCCCCTCCCCCACTCACATTCTGTCTCTCTCTCAAAAATAAATACACATTTAAAAAAAAAAATGAAATGACGATAAGTATCAACTTCAGGATACAGAGCAACAAAACTCTCAAAACTGCTGGGCACACTATAAAGTGGTATAATCCTTTGGAAAACAGTTTGACATTATTTACTAAAGTTGAAATATGCATACTTATGACCCAACAATTTCATTCCTGGGTATATACCCAGTAGAAATGTGTGCACATGTGCACCAAGAGCCATGTTTGAGAATTTTCATAGAAGCACTGCTCAGAATAGCTCCAAATAGGAAACAACTCAAATTGTGATCAATAGAATATACTGTAGTTTATTCATACAATTAACAATGCACAGAAATGAAAATTATTGAACTAGAACTATACACATACACGAATCTCACAAACATAATGAGTGAAAGAAGAATTCTGTTCACTTAAAACTTCAAAAAAAAAAGGCAAAAGTGAGCTTACAGAAGTACCAAAATAAAGGGTATGGAAATTATCAATACCAAACTTATGTCAGTGATTACTTCTTAAAGAGGGAGAATGTTACCATCAGGAGGAATACACAAGGAGCTTCTGGGTTACTGGAAATGTTTTATTTCTTGACTTGGAAGAGCGCTACATAGGTGTTCACTATATAATTATGTTAAGCTGTGTATAATTGTTCTATATACCTTCCCATAAGTATACTGCGTTTCATAACATAAAATTAAAATTTTAAAACAGTAAAAAAATCAGAAAAATATCAGTGAGCCTTGAGGGTGGAGATATAAAATGGAAATCAGACAAAATATGCTGCCAAGTCAATCTGACTAAAAACAAGACTTAATGCTGATTGTTAGCTATCAAATAACATACTCTGTTAATAAACATTTTTATATTCACTTAAATAATTGAGAACTTACTGTGTGTCAGGCATTATTCTAGTCATTGGGAACAGCAGTGCACAAAAAAGTATTTATATGTAAGTGTTGTGGAGAAAGACAATAAAAAAGAATAAATATGGTAAAAGGGAACTCTGAAAGTGATGTTATGTTTTTAGGGTAATTAGTGATATCCTCATTGATACTTGGCATCTGAATAGAGAGAGACTGAGATCAAGACACTAATCTATGCACTTATCTGGGGTACAGCTTCCAGAAAGATGGGAAAAGCCAAAGACCTTAAGGCAGGACCATGCTTGGAGTATTCAAGTAAAACAAAGAGGCCAGTAGGCCAAAGTAGAACAACTGAGAGGGAAGAATATAAAAGATGAAGCAGGCTGGGGTGGGGGTGTTGAGAGGCTGTGATCATGTAGGGCATTGTAGAACTTTGTAAAGACCCTCTCTTTTCTTTCTTTTTTTTTTTTTACAAATAGTTTATTGTCAAATTAGTTTCCACATAACACTCAGTGCTCATCCCCACAAGTGCCCTCCTCCATGCCCATCCCCCCCTCCCCCCCACATCCATCAGTCCTCAGTTTTTGTCAGCATTCAAGAGTCTCTCATGGTTTGCCTCTCTCCCTTTCCCCCACCATTTCCGCCCTTCTTCTCCCCCTTGGTCCTCCGTCAAGTTCCTCCTAATCCTCCTATATGTGCAAACATATGATATTTGTCCTTCTCTGCCTGACTTATTTCGCTCAGCATAACACCCTCAAGGTCCATCCATGTTGCTACCCATGGCCAGATTTCATTGTTTCTCATTGCCATGGAGTATTCCATGGTATAGATAAACCACATCTTCTTGATCCATTCATCTGTTGATGGACACTTAGGCTAAGACCCTCTCTTTCTGAGTGAACTGAGAAACCATTTTAAGCCAATGACAGAAGAGGATGTGACTTATGTTTTAAAACCATCATTCTGGTCCTTTCAAAGGCACCATTAAAATAGGAAAAGCTACAATTCCTTTTCTATGTGGAAAAATATAATACTTGGTTTGAGTATATCATATATAGGTTCAGAGAAAATAAACAGGTAATGCTTCCTTTTATTTAGAAGAATCATTCTTTTAGTTCATATTAATAGCGAAATTTTTTTCACCTTAAAAAGTGTTCAAAAAATGGTTAAACTAATATCCTCCGCTGTCCCCCAATTTACAGTGACCAGTTTGTTTTTTTTTTTTAAATTGTGGTGAAATACACAGAAAACTTACCATCTTAAACCAATTTTTACATGTAGAGTTCAATAGTGTTAAGGTTATCGCACTGTTGTGTATAATGACTAGTTTTAAAGGCTTTAAAAAAGTCAGACTGGTGTTGATGTTTTTAGATAAACTCTAATACAATAATATATATTATTAATAAAAACAAATATAAATATACTACAGAATATGATTTTGAGATGCTGGTATTTCCATTACTAAAACACATGATGAATAAAAGACATACTATACACAATTTGTTTTCTAAATTGGTGATATTTCCATATTATTTTGGCAGGATCATCACACATTTTAAAATGATGTTATTGCCTATTACTTGGCAGTTTAAATAAATGTTATTTTTTTTTTAATTTTTACCTCTGTGAAGAGACGAGCATCATCAGAAAGCATATTATAATCCTGTGCACATTTCTTTGCAGAATTCTGCAAAAACTTTAGGAATTCAGTAACTTCTTCATTCACATGTTTTTTCATATCCTGATTTTTAAAAAAGTAGACATGTCTTGGAATAAGAAGCTTAATTAAAAACAATCACCTCTCAATCGCTGCTCTAATAATCTGTATATAAAGACTAATTAAAGTATCACATCCAAAGCAAAAATCAGAGCAATAGTAAATATTATGTAATAACGGCAAACTTGTTATTAAAAACTTCACATTGTATATAAATGTTAAAACACTATGTTGAACACTTGAAACTAATACAATATTGCATGTCAACTACACTTCAATTTAAAGTGTAAAATGCATAAAATAAAAAAAGCAAATGACTGTTGCACTACTTATTTAGGAATCATTAAGTTTTTTTCATAAAATGCTCTAAATTAGCATAAAAAAAAGACAAATATCCAAATGGGAAAGCGTGCAAACAACATGAATAGGCAAGTTATAAAAAACAAAGAAAAAAAGAAATGGCTTATAAGCACACAAAGACTTACTTTCATTAGCAAACACTATAATATAAAACAAGAAATCACCATTTTTCTATATCAAATTAGAAGCAAAAACATAATGTCCAGCATAAGTGAAGACACAACCTTAAAAATAAAAAACTTTCATACAATAGTGGTATCAATTGGTTTAAACTTTTTGCAGAACAATTTACTCAGGTATAAATACAGATCGAAGCCTTAAAACACATATAGTTTTGATCTGGCTATTATAGTTTTAAGAATTTATCTTAAGGAAATAATTATAAATGTGAACAAAGAGTTTGCAACAAATATGTTCAATACAGCATCATTTATATAATTGAGAACTTGAAACTGCTAAAGAAATTTTAAAAAACTTACAATTGGTTGTGAGCGTTATAAAATTGTATTGCTAGTCCTTAAGAGGAACTGAAGTATGCTCAGAACCAAAGGAAAATGCTTACTATAAAAGAACCCACAAAAGAACAAAAGCACCAAAGCTCTGTCAATTAAACTCCTTAAATTTTCCATTTTTGTTAAAAATGACTGTACCCCAAAAAAAGCAAAGTTAAAATATTTTTTACTGAAGCTAAAGAATAGCATACATACCAAATACTGCAAGTAGTCATTTTTATTTATTCCAACAGCTTTGGAATTTGCAGGAACTTTTGCGTATTTAACCAACAAGTCCACATAACTCCTCTGTTCTCTCTGTGAGAAACGAGAGAAACGAGGATAAGGAACTCTTGGTTTTGGAAGAAGAACCATTCCAACTGTGGTTTTAACTTTTTCCTTTGCTTGAGTTGCTGAACTAACTGCCGGCTCATTTTCTACAGAACTTGCTGAGGCATTCAAATTTTCTCCTATACGTCTGGAAAAAAAAATACAATTTACAAATATGTGCTTTTCACATGAAGATTACTATCATGGAACTTCATGATTCTCAATCACCAGGGAGAATATAGTGTGATTAACATAGTAAATTCTGGATTATTATCTAACTCTGCCACCTGCATTTTTATGTTTAGCCAATTGGTGTAAATTAAGTATTCTGCAGGAGAGGATCACATTACAAGTTTACCTTCAAATATCTGATGGAGAGGGAGAGGCAAACTCCTTAGACAAGTTATTCAATTTGGAACTATTTTCCCTTTATTAAGAGGGGTAATTGCTTGTCAATTATATATGCAGGTATTTCGTGTTTACATTTTATTCATTTTATTACAATGTAAGTTTTTATTTTTATTTTTTTTATTTTAGTTTTTGAGATAGAGTGTAAGCAGGGGAAAGCAGGAGAAGGAGAGAGACAGAATTTTAGGCAGGCTCCCTGTTCAGCATGGAGCCCACCTCAGGGCTTGACCGTACAACTGTCAGATCACGACCTGAACCGAAAAGAAAACAGGAGCTGGATGTTCAACCCACTGAGCCACCCAGGCGCCCTAACAATGCAAGCTGTTTTTAAAATCTTAAATTCTTCAGTAAGCGACATCCATTAATATGATGAGCAAAAGCCACTAAAAGCAGGATATAATGGAGGTCACAAATTCACAAATTCACTAAAATTCTAAATTTTCTAGTTTCCTTTGCTTTAATTATCTCAAGATTTAAAAAGAAAATTGCAGCACTGTGTGCCATATTTTCTGGAAGCAACAGTGGTTTTAGAAAAGTTGTATGATTCTCTTATCACTAGTACATGGCTGAATCCATGGAAATGTCTTTATGCCCTGAATGAATGCAAAAAAGAAAATCTGGCATATCTATGATGAAATGCACTAGATGAGACAGTAGTAACTATAGAACCTGTTATTGTAATTATGAAACGATATCCCCAATTTCTAAAAAATCACCTTTCTGCCCCAGTGAGGTATATTAACCTGAAGCTCTTATCTTGTTCATAATCTGTCTCTATTCCTAGTATTCAACTGTAGTAACCTACATTTAAAAAAAAATTTGTTTATTTATTTATTTCGAGAAACAGAGAGAGAGAGAATATCCCAAGCAAGCTTGGCGCTGTGGGCATGGAGCCTGATTCTAGGCTCAATGTTACAAACTATGAGATCATGACCTAAGGCGTGATCAAGAGTTGGATGCTTAATCGACTGAACCACCCATGTGCCCCAGTACTCTACATTTTTAATAAGAGAGTTTTAAAGTACAGAAATACACACATACACAACTACACTTCCTTAGCCTCTACAATTCTAATCTCCACAGCAGTAACTGTTCTCCATGATTTAATTCCAAATTAAACAACAATAACACAAGAGGAAGGGAAACTAATGAGAAGGATGGATATTCATTGATTCATTCTTCATCCCCCCATTCATTAATATTTATTGAGTGAGTATCATGTGCTAGGCTTACACTGGACACTGGAGTACAATACAGTCTCTACTCTCTAAAACTGTGCAATCAAGTGGATCAGACTTGAGGAAGATAATCAGATAATGGGGAAGACAGATAACTAAATATGTACATTAATACAATGTAACTATGGAGATCTCAGGTTTCCAAACTGGGAACATACTGAATAGGTGACAGAGAAGAATCCTAAGAAGAATGGGATAAGGGATTGAGAGGGGGAAAGAAGAGACCCATTAATTTCTTCAGGGAATTTTACAAGCCTGTGGCTACATCTGAGTTGTTATAAAAGAAGGCATGTAGAGGGAGGTGAACACTAGATGCCTATAATGTAACATATGAGAGAGAAACTATACAACTTTCAAAGGTTCCTTCAGGCTTTCTCTGATCATATACAAACAAACCTGGTCTGTTATTACTTATCCTACCAACACATTTTATTCTCATTTATTTTTATGATTCTTCTATGGCACAGTTTATAGTAACCTCTCTTAAATCTAACCTTGTTCATTTTATTTTATTTTTTAAATGTTTTATTTATTTCTAGGAGAGAGAGAGAGAGAGACAGCGTGAGAAGGGGAGGGTCAGAGAGAGAGGGAATCACAGACTGAAACAGGCTCCAGGCTCTGAGCTGGCAGTCAGCACAGAGCCCGACGCGGGGCTCGAACCCACGAACCGCGAGATCATGACCTAAGCGAAAGTCGGACGCTTAACCGACTAAGCCACCCAGGCGCCCCTAACCTTGTTCATTTTAGCTGGTGCATCTACTTCATTATATTTTCCAGTGCAGTAGTATCTACACATTTACATATTAAAATATATAACATAAATTCTTTGATTTCACATTTTATATCTTGGACATTACTTTTAAGTACAATGTCTGAGGCTAATTCCATTTCAGGCTAGTAAAGGAGGTATCTCATTTCTTATAAATATTTGTTATGAAAAGTGGGAGGGTGGTGTCCTGATAAGGCTGAGAATTATCAATCTAGATTTGTGTCTGGATGAAAGGTGAGCCCTATCTAAAACCACTGCTAATTTGTTTTAAATCAGCTTTAAAAGACTAAAGCAAATACAGTAAAAATGCAAAGATTCTTAGGAAAAAAAATAAAGCAAAATATTCAAGACTACTCTTTTAGGGCTAAACTAAAGATGGAAAACTAATCAAAAGAGGTGGTTGGTGAATGGGAAAAGGATTTTGGAAATTAAAATACAGATGCTTGGATTGGCTCTGAAAATAATACAGGTGAAAGAAGACATACTTAGCTACTAAAGTTTCTCCAACAACTGTATAAAAATAAGCATATTTTAAGTTAACAAAATGAATATTAAGTGCTGATCTTGGGAGAAATGTATTACAGCAAATTGATTTCTCACTAGAAAATGTCTTGAGAGCTATTCAAACCTAACGGTATTGTGTCCGCAACTCTTAACAATACTGCTTCACAGCTGTCTCTCTGAATACGAGAACATGTCTGTCCTTGTGGCACAAACTGGCAAATTTAATTAAGCTGCTGCAGCAACAAGATGCTGACTCAGATATGCCAGAGTAGGAATGTCAAGAAACTGTAGCAGTTTAAATTGGCTACATTCAGCAAAGAATGAAATGGCAGCACATCAAGATCATTTCTGTGTGCAGTGCTGTCAAAATCTTCATCAGGGTGCAAGCCAAAAGCATCTGACAGGGTTTCTCTATCCACATTTACAGCATTATATTTTATTTCAGTTGATGGTTTGAAGTTTTTCCCCTTCATTTTGTCAACTACCTAGTCTCCTTTTTTACTTAAAGTTTCTATGAAGAAAAAGGCAGAATTCAAACTTTTACTTTCCTATGCTTTAAGTCTTTGGTTTGGGTGGCTTCTTAAAGTAGCATTTGGAAATGGTGCTTCTAGCTTCCATCTAAAGTCTACCTGTACCTCCTGGATTGATTTACCTTTCTATATTCAAAATGTTAAAATTTCATAATTTTTTAAATGTGAAGCTACTTTCCCCCTTGCTGGTTTAAAGCTCAATTACAAATATCTACAATCAGAAACTTTGATTTAAAAAAAAGGTAAGTGTTTACCTTTCAGTGGAGGGAGAAGGGATGGATAAAAATCTCATATTACTGAAAGCAGAGTAATGAGAGGTAGCAATATTTTCCTAATATGATGGGAAAGGCAAAACACAAAATTATGGCTAATAAATTTATTTTTACATTTTTTTCTGCTTTTTCCATCAAGAAAACAGCTGTAAATTACTGTGACAAAACTTAGTAAAATTTAACACGAGCAAAAAAGACTATAAACATGAAATCAATGCCTTGTGTCTTTATTTTTTCTGTGCTGGAAGGTAAGTTATACTAAAAAGTTATTTTGTGCTATACAGAATCTAAGGAAAAACAAGCATATCCTAAGAAGAAAATATTTTAGCAGCTATACCCAAACTGCCAGCAAGATATCCTTTCTCTTACATAATTCAGACTATAACCCATACCTAGGATATGCTGACTAGAACCAAACTTGAAAAGGACCATTAAAATATGGTGCATCTGGGTGGCTCAGTTGGTTAAGTGTCCAATTCTTAATTTTCGCTCAGGGCTCTGCGCTTGGGATTCTCTCTCTCCGCCTCTACCCTGCTCATGCTCACTAGTGCTCTCTCTCTCTCTCAAAATAAATAAACTTCAAAAAAAAAGAGAAAAGAACCATTAAAATAATTAAGAAACAGGATAAAGAAGATGAATATTAAAAATTTTTAGTCTGAAAAGATGAAGGCTGAGATAAATACATAAAATGGTGAGAAGTTTTTTTTTTTAAAGTAAAAATACATGTTCATTTTACCTTTAAGAAAAGGTAAAGATATACATCTTTACCCTCCTTTTCCAGGACTAGAATTGGTAGGCATTCTTTGATTCAAATAAACAAAGTCAATTCTTTATTTAAATTGATAAGTTTTAAGAAATTGAAACAATGAAATTAAGTTATACTCAAGAAATGGTACAAGCTGAATAACAAAAATAGCTTAAAAAATCCATAGATACATTTATACAGGATTTACTCAACTTTCTATAGATGATATTAGTAAAGGCATTATAAGTATGTTTGGCAAGAATGTTGCCTTTAAAACTGCCTCTTTAAACTCCTCTATGACCCAGCAACAGCACTGCTAGGAATTTACCCAAGGGATACAGGAGTGCTGATGCATAGGGGCACATGTACCCCAATGTTCATAGCAGCACTTTCAACAACAGCTGAATCATGTTAACAGCTTAAATGTCCATCAACTGATGAATGGATCAACAAGATGTGGTTCATCTACGCAATGGAATACTACGTGGCAATGAGAATGGATGAAATCTGGCCATTTGTAGCAACATGGATGGAACTCCAGGGTGTTATGGTAAGTGAAATAAGTCAGGCAGAGAAGGACAGATACCATATGTTTTCACTCATATATGGAATAGGACAAACTTAACAGAGGACCATGGGAGTAGAGAAGGGAAAAAAATAGTTAAGGAGAAAGAGGGAGGCAAATCATAAGAGATTCTTAAATACTCAGAACAAACTGAGGGTTGATGAGAGTGGAGGAGAGGGGAAAATGGGTGATGGGCATGGAGGAGGGCACTTGTTGGGATGAGCACTGGGTGTTACATGGAAACCAACTTGACAATAAACTATTTAAAAAAATATTGAAATTGCCTCTTCAATACAACATCTGCTTGCTTTTATGTGAATTTATTCATCTGATCATCAAAAAAGCATTTTTTAAATGTTTTTAATGGCAATCTGGCAGTATCTATCAAAATAAAAAGCACATACATACCCTCCTCTTATAGAAATTTATCCTACTTATATCAGCACATGTATAAAAAGGATGATCACTGTTTATCACAGGAAAGGGATGGAAATACCTAAATTAATATCACTGGGGTCAATTAATTGATTCCATAGTCACCCTTAAAGGTTCAGATTCCAAAAGCTGCGTTGAGAGTACAAAATCAGTATTTCTTAAAATCTTCAGAGTCTGATGAGCCAGTATAGTAAGGCTTAGGCAGAAGAGACTGAGAAATATCACTATCACCAGAAAACTAGGAGAGTGAGATGTCTTCATAGTCAAGAGCCTAGTGATGATCCTGAGGAGGAGTTTTAGTAGACTAGTGAGGGTGGAAGCCAGATGACAGTGGGATGTTCAGTGAAAGCAAATGCAGTGGGATGTGCAGTGAAGTGTTTTATTCTGCTTTATTCATCATTCTCCTAATGTGTCTTTTGACTGGAGAGCTTAATCCACTTAACGTATTATTGATAGGGAAGGACTTATTATCGCCATTTTGTTAAATGTTCTCTGTATGTCTTACAGATTTTTGTCCCACTTTTCCTCCCAGCAAACACATACAAGTTTTTAAAGAAGTCTAAGTACAAATGAGAGAAGAGGTAAGAAAGTAACATGGAATCCAGGGATTGAGGCAGGATGAACTTGAACACCTTTTAACACTGAAAGATGAAAATACAGGAGTAAAAGGAAATGCTAATTGACAGAAAGGGTACTGAGAAGGCAGAACAGATGGGGACCCATTCCATATACAGGCTGGAAATATGCTTCCTCCACTGCAGAATGAGTGAAGAAAAGATGAAAGTAAATACTGAGCTCCTCTAGAGAAACTCCCCAATTCCTCACTTGGCATATTTACATCCATTCTAGTAAACTCAATTACTTGGTTTCAAGATTCATCCACAATAGAGTAGAAACAGCCAATCACAAAGGAAAGAAGATCTGTTACAGGCAGGCAAGCAGTGAGAAGGGAAAATGATCACTCAATAGGCATGTTCATAGCAGAGAGGAATTTGGCAGTATCTATTAAAATATAAAATGCATATGCCATCTGACCAAACAATTTGATTCTATGAATTTATCTTATAAAAATTATTACAAGAACTTCATCAACATATTGCTTATAATTACAAAAAAAAGAAGAGCATATTTTGCAAATTCGGACTACCTAAATGAATTAAAAGTATATCTATATAACGAAGTATTATGCAACAATTAAGATTAAGACATATGTAGAGGCATGGAAAGCTACACAAAATATTATTTTCAATGAAAAAAGCAAACTGCAAAACAGTTTCTTAGTATTTTACATTATTTACAATGTGATCCCATTTTTGGTTTTATATCTATGTGGAGAAAGATCTGAAAAAATTCACACACACACACACACACACACACGTACACCAAAGACTTGCCACCCTTGGGTACTGGGTTCTTCCATTTTCTAATTTTTATAATTCCCGAATTGGATGTTTAATAGTGAACACATTTGTTACTTTTCCGGCAGTTGAAGTTTTATAATCAAATAGGAAAACAATCAAATAAATATATTACCTGTTAGACAAAACACATAGTTCTTTTAAACTTGGAGCCATGGAATGATCTTTATAATTTTCTTGAGAGAAAAATGTCTTAAGGCCATTTTTGGGGGAAACATCCCTGTGAAACAAAGTAATTTACTTACATTTGATAATTCAGAATCTCATGCGAGACTAAGCAGCATACTGGTTCAATTGTAGTTTACAACTTATTGCCCCCTATACCCCTTTCCAAGACAATCATCTCTTAATAATTTCAATTTCATGTACTAGAAGATTGAGTTTAGATGTGTTACTTGGATAGCTTTTAGCCTAGGCTCATTCTGAAATTCTCCAGTTCAAATAATCAGCCTTGCTCTTTTAATCCCCAATTAAATGTCAGAGATACTTAAGAGTCAAAGAACAGACTAAGGTATAGTAAGAGTCTGTCAGGGACAGGGCTCACCTCAGGCTCTGTGGCACAACATTAAGATGTTTGGTTGCTGAAAGAAAATGGTTCTCAACTTAGTTTTGTTTCATGCATTATTGTGCCAGGCCAAAAGACACTACAAAGACTGAATATCCTACCTATTTCCATCAACTTGGCAAATGTGATAAATGTGATAAATGGGGTGCCTCTGCTAAAACCACTGCAAGGTCTTATATGATTTTCTGTAACATCATAATTGGACACTAAGCTATTATAGTCAATGCTTTCCATATAGGAGGTATCTAATAAATGCTGGCTGAAGGAATGAAAAGTTAAAAACAATGAGAACCATAATCTATAAAGGACAAAGATTATGAGGATTCTGTGGAAAAGGGCTACAATCCTGTGCAAAGGCTCACATTTGGTTTCACAATGTCAATGGCATTTTAAGAGCATCTGTGCTGCACCTGAAGACATTCTTTATGGCAAGGAGCATAAAATGTACATACCTCCTAAAACTTACAATAGAACAGTCTACCAAATAACTTCTGGCTGGCCCATTCCCAAAATAGGAAATTTTACCATGTTTGCTCCACACTTATTTCTTACTGTTTTTAACAGTGTTTATCAATAAAACCACTGTGATTAAAATACAAATGATAAAAATTAGGATGTCTTACTTGCCATCTACCAGTGTAGGTTCTTATGACTTGTTATGATACTCTGTCTCTGAAACCTCATTAAATTATAAGGATTTTGTCTATCATACAAAAATAAAGTCAGAGGCTCAGGGACAGTGAGCTCCTTGAAGGAAGGGAGTACTGTTTGCAATAAAAAAAATTACTGAGCACATGATTGACGCTTCTGAGTCAGGTACTATTTTAATCAACTCTGTAATCTCTTGTAACTTTAGTATTCTCTTTGGCTAGCAAAGAGTGGATGCTCAGTAAATGTGTGTTAAATTGATCTGAAGCAGCTATGTGTTAGATCTTTACAAAACCACACTTGGCAAGTCTGCTATCTGTGAAGTTCTCATATACTTCTAAAACAGTCTATGCATTTACATCATCACTTGATACAGACTCTAATATAACAAAATGAAGGCTTGTCTGTTCTTAAAAGAGATTTTTCTATTACTCGTACAGATATGGGCGAGGTTCTTGGACACAAAAAAATTCTAGCCTCTTGCCTTCACTGAGAGACCAACAATAAATACAGGATGAAGCAATATCTAGTAGCAATCTGAATGATGAACTATTGGCATTTTCAGGAAAGGAAGTGCCATCAGTTGTAACTCAAAAGGGCTCAGTATATAAGACCCAGGTACATTCTGAGCCATTACACTTGTGTCTTCTTTCTGTTTCCTCTAAATCTCTCCAGGCCAGAAACCCTCCTTTCCAGCCACCAGTCCAATTCACTCCTCTTTAGAACATAAGCAGATGTAACTCACCAGTTCAGCCTGGGCTCACCCATGGCCATCATGGAGCTCATATTTCTAGATGTCTGCCTCACTCAAGCTCACAATTCTGCTGCCTGGCAGTGCACGCTCCCCCGGAGGTAGGATTTCTGCAGAATCTACACTCAACAGAGGAAAAACCAAAGGTCAGGATCAAAAGCAGGTGACTGGCTGGCCAGGGGCTGTTAACTTAGGTGTAGCAAGAACCTTTAACACATACCCTCAACTGGCAGGGACACCTAAAGACAATACAGGAGACAGACGAATATTCCCAAGGTTCTTTGTAACAGAACAGCAATGGTCATGTAGGAGTCCTTCTCCATTTAACTTAACTCCAGTAACGGAACTCTCAGGACACTCACCGAGGAAACAGTCAAAACAGAACGGTGTTCTCATTGCTTACACACTAAATCGCTTACAGCATGGCACTGTAAGTCTTAACTCAGCTCCCCTCCACTCCTCAGTGCCCAAATAAATCTTGCTTCCGTTTTCCCAAACATACACGGTTATGGGGCAGATTCTGGCAAGCAAAGCTGCAAAGAAACTCCCTGGAAATCAAGAACCTTTCCAAAAGAACCTCACTTTTGAGGAGACTGAGGTCCAGGTGACTTAAGTGACATTTCACGGGACCATACAGAGGAATCACAAGAGATGCAAATCTGGACTGACCACTCTATGTTCACTGCTTCTCCTGTCATTCGGAACGCACTGATAAAGTGGCATGTGAGAAACTAGCAGTCAAATCTGAGTCGGTCTCTTGGTACCTGACGGGCCTGACCTGCTCCCACGTAATCCACCTCTCACACTATGACCCGTTGTGGGGCTGAGGAGGGAGAGTCGATGAAGGCCAAAGGAATGGCTGAGGGAAAGGCGGCCGGAAGGACAAACAGGGTTCCAGTAAGGCAAGTAGAGGCGAGCAAAGCCAGGGGTGGGGGCCGCGCCAAAACCTGGAGCAAAGGGTCCTAGCCCGGCCCAGGGGGCCGCCATATTCCCTCCTCCCGCCCTCACGAGTGCCCGCCTGCAGGGCAGCGCCCTCCCTTCCGCGTCTCTGCTGCAAAGCATCCTTTCCGCCCACCTCTTGGTCCGCGGCGGCTCTGACCCGGGCCGCGGCCCCCACTCCACACACGCTCCACCCCACTCCTTACTCTGTCGCGCGCGCTCTCGGAAGGCCTTATTTAAAGGACGTGGCTGCGCCGTCTCGGCCCTGCGTAATGACGTATGCAAAGACGCAAGGGGCGGGGCCTGAGTATTCCTCCCTCTCGCGTTCGGGGTGTTTTGGCTGGAAATTGTTAGGTTCGGTACGTCGCTGCTCGCTTGAAGGAAGAGGCCGGGGCTGTGTGTTGTCCTAGAAAGTTCTCGGCCCTGAAGGGATGATAAAAAGAGGAGAGGCGACAAGTTCAGTACTAGAAGTACCCAAACAGACTTGGCTGTGACCTTAGGCTAATGTCTCAGCTTCCTGACCCTGTCTCCTCCTCGGTAAAGGGGAGATAGTATTAACACGTACTTAGTATTTTTGAAAGGGTTACATGAAGTAACGGATGAAGCTGTGCTCAGCACGGTACTTGGCACAGAATAGCACCTCCACTTCCCACCCCACTTTAGATGTCGGATTCCACCAGTAGCCATTCTGGCTCTCCCACTAATTTTATTCTCATTCATTAAGGAAAGATTTATTGAGTACTTACAATTGTGCTTCGTTACGTATAGGTCTAAGACCGAATACCAGTTTTTTTCCTAGAGCTTTTGGGAATTGTATTCACATTAAATAATTATGAAACAAAATAGAAAGTAGTAAGCTATGTAAGAGAAATTGTGTCAGTTCAAAGAGGGAGAGAAATTACTAGTGAGAAGAATAGAAAGCAGCTTTTAGTAGCTAATACCTTTTGAATACTTACATGTCAGTTACCACATTGGGCACTTGACATGTCAGCTTATTTGAAGATTTTGAAGTATGTAGATGATGAGAAAAGGCATTCTAGAAAGAGACCAGCACAAGGAACTGCATGAATCTATCGCATGAACAGAGTCCAGGTTGTATGCTAACAGGAAAACATACTCTAAATTTTACAATGATTTATGATATTATGTAAAGTTATGTTTAGAAAGAAATTATACTTCTATTAAGAATCTCCCTTGAATCCAGTGACCCTTAGGTAATTTATTTTGTCTGGACTGCAAGGACTATGAAGACTAGTAGAGAAAACGGGTTTGAAAAATAGACTGGCACCAGGCCACACAAGAACATATAAGCTAAACTAAGGGTCCTGACTTTATTGTATAAGAAATGAAATGCGGGTTGGGTGGGGGTGTTTATCATCAGAAGAATGACACAGTCAGAGCTTCTATGTTTCAGGAAAGTTTACCTAGCAGTGTATTAAATGAGTTGTAGCGAAGAAGCAGGTTAGGAGACAGGGCTTATGAATACTTGCAAATCAGCCAGAGCAATGAATGGCACTGTGCAGGTAACACTTGTTAGGTGAGTGATGTTGACAGCTTGTGCTAGGACAGAGACGGACATCAAGGCAATGTAGAACTTCAAGCGTTGGGTACTATCTCCTAAAGCATGCAGTCAGAGAGAGTTGGGAATCCTGTCCTACTATACAGCAGCTGCGTAATAAACTGCTCAAGAATAGTTCATTCATTTATGCTGCTGTTATCAGCACATAATAGTGTGATGTATGGTAACATCACCATACATGGCCTGTATTGAGATTACAGATTATCATCAAAGAGTATGCTCTGGTTCAGTCTATGTGATTTCTGGTGGTTGCAAGATAGCATATGGAATCAGGAATTTTAGAGCCAGAATGAACTTTGGAGATTATCCAGTCTAACTTCTTACTTTCCTGATAAGGAAATTGAGGCTCAGGTTGTCAAATGACTTTTCCAACATCATATGATCAGTGATAAAGTGGATCCTAAAAATCAGGTCTTATAACTTTTGCCATTACAATATGTTAAATGTATGTATCCTTTCTTCTTTATGCTCTACTTGTAAATCAGAAGCAGTTTAGTGAAATGAACATGGATTTTGGAGTCTAGCTGATAGAGGTTTTATCTCATTTTTCTTGCTTACTGGCAGTGTGATCCTAGACATGTTGAGTCTCCTCTTTGAGCCTTGGTTTCCTCATCTGGTAATGAAGACTTTTAATATCCTCCCCTACAGAACTGTTGTGAGGATTAGAAGTAAAATATAAAAAATACACTACAAAGAGTAAGTGTTCAACATAAAACAGCCATCAGTATATACTTTTTCTGCCCTACGAATCCCCCACAGTGGGGGTAGAGGCGCCTGGGTGGCTCAGTTGGTTAAGAGACTGACTTTGGCTTAGGTCATGATCTCACGGTTCATGAGTTCGAGCCCTGCATTGGGCTGTATGCTGGCCGTGCTAAGCTTGCTGGGGATTCCCTCTCTCTCTTTGTCTCTCTCTCTTTGCCCCACCTCTGCTTGTACTTTCTCTCTCTCTCAAAATAAAAACATAAACTTAAAAAAAAAACACAGTGTAGGTGGCATTTTAAACAAATGGATTATAAGACAAATTATAAATTATAAGACAAATTATGTTTTATATATATAAACATATATGTTTTTATATATATTAATTTATATATATATATAAATTATAAGACAAATTATACCCATCTTGAAAGATGAGTAGTCATTCCTTGGGTAGAGAAGGGGACCCCCCCCCCCAGAGAGGGTCTTCATGCTATGTTAGAGGAGTAGGACTTTGGATTTTATGCTCTGGGTGATGAGAAAACCAGTGTGTGTGTAGGAGGTTTAAAATAGCTTTATTGAGGTATAATCTATATATCATAAAATTCACCTGTTTAATCTGTATCATTCACTGAGTTTTAGTAAATGTATGGTGTTTTGCAACTGTCAGTGAACTCTGCCAAGTTTTAAAGCATTCCATTACTCTGATAAATCCTTTGTGCCCCTTTGCAGTTAATCTCTCTTCCCACTCTTTAGCCCCAAGCAAACACTAATCTGCTTTCCATCTCTATAGATTTGCCTTTTCCAGACAAAAAAATTATACAATATGGATTCTTTCTCTTGGCAAAATAATTTCAAGTTCATCCATGTTGTAGTAGGTGTTAGTAGTTTTGTTGCTTGATTGTAGTGTGTTTACAGATATGAACCAGTTTGCTTACCCATGCAACAGCTGACAGACATTAGATGGTTTCCACTTTTTGGCTATTATGAGTAATGTTAGGAGCATTTGTATACCAGCCTCTGTGTGAAGTTTGTATTTTCATTTCTCTTGGGCAGATACCAAGGAGTGGAATTGTTGGGCTATATGCTAAGTTTATGTTTAACTTTTTAAGACCCTACCAAACTGTTTTCCAAAGTGATCGTGCCATTTTATTCAATGGATTTTTTAGGCAGAAGAAAGATTCGGTTTTCCATTTTTGCTAAGCCAAAAAACAAACAAACTCAGAAGTTGAATGAGAAGTCAGTTTCATATTAAAAGTATTTAGCAGTGGTACTTATTTTGAGTTTATAAGATGTTTCATTGGACCGAATTTCAAAAAGAACTCTTAAAAGGGCAACCACTTGGCTAAGTGCAGTTATTACAGTTGCTTCTAGATGTATATTTCTTCTTGCAGACCAAGGGACATAGAAATATGCATGATCATCTATTTTTTATTAGTTCCAAGTCATTTTCCTACCCTTCAGCTAACGAGCTTCCTTTGCCTGATTTGTGATGAACTTAGCTTTGGAGAGTTTATTGCCTGGTAAGTACTTCACTCAGGAAATTGCTTCACGAACGTACAATCACCCGGAAGGACCTTTCGAGAGGGGAGTCCAGAAACAGTTCTCTAGCAAAGAGATTTTAATCTAGTAATTGATTCAGGACTATTGGGGGGAAATACCATTGCCAGTAGTAGTTTGTTCAAATTGGGCTTTTCAGCCAAAAAAAAAAAAAAAAAGGTATTTCAAGTGGGGAGGGAATTATCATTCTGAAAACCAGCTTCGTGCTCTGGCTCAAGATATCCTGTTTCAGAAGAGAATGGCTAAAGAGTTCAAAATTTCCCACTCAGAAGACGATATTTTGTGAAGTATATTTTGTTGTGTTCTGTATTACATGGTTCCTGTGCTAAAATAAACAAACAAATAAATAGAAAACCCAGAACTAACTGTTCATCTGAATGCTGGTCTTTCCTAGGGAGCATCTAACCCTCCCACAGAGAGGAGTTGATGACAGATCATTTCAAGTAAGATAACTAAGCAATCATTTATATTTGTCTTTAGAATACAGTATGTATTTTATTGGACGGATAAAGAAAGAATGGTAGAAAAGGTGGGTGTGAGATTTGTTAGGAGGTTATGATTATAATTTTGGGTAAGGCTAATATTGAAATTAGTTTTTGTTCTCTAAGCACAACACAGGTAATAGTTGAAGCAACTTCTCCTTCACAAAGAGGAAGTCATCTTGGAATTAAACCATTGTTTGAGAAGCCCATCCACTGAATAAACAACAAATGGATTGTTGAGACATGCCTATATTTTACTGGAGTCAATAGTTCTCCTCCTGAGGGGGGAAAACAATCCAGAGGTAAAGTCAATGTATTAAGGCTAGTTTATCTCTTTCCAATATCAGAGATAAATGACATTAGGAAAAACAACAAAACAAAACAGGATTTTTCTCCAGCTTACAACTGGTGGTATAGTGAAATTACAGAGTGCCTGTTAACCTGGCAGTAGGCTTCTGCCACTATGGAGAGTCTAGATTTGTATTAAAGACAAGTTGAGGATCCATCAGTGTGATTCTTTTGGGATCCATGAGTGTTCTCTTGACAAAAATTCCCTGCTTGCTCCTATGTTCCTGAAATCCCTTAGGCAAGAATGCTTTTATTTTTCTAGTCTCTGGTGACTTACATGATATTAACGGTCTCTTTTATGGCTTTGAATACCACTGGGCCCCATCTTCAGTTTCTTGTTCAAAAGGGGAAGTCAACATCCTGAGCTGCATCTCAGCAGGTCAGCGGTTACCCTCCCCAGCTCACGAGCATAGTCTTTTCACATACCAGTCACGAGAAACCAAAGCCTGCTCTGCACTGGTCCATTTGATCCCAGTGCACACTAAAAGTGGAAGTCTAATTTTGAAGGGCTAGACTGATCTTGCCTCATGAGACAAAGCTTAGTAGTAATAGTACCAACCAAGACACACTGTGGTCAGGTCTTATTATGATTATTACTTTTGTTTTTTCTCGAAGAGTTTATTAACCAGACGTTTGTTTTCCTTTCTGATTCTCCCACGAGATCCTTATATACAAGAGGTAAGAAATCTCTCTTATGCTCCTGTTCTGGTATCCCTCTGGAAGCTGGGCAAGTTAATACATGATGGGAGGGGAGTGTAAACCATTGTTTTTATCAGCGGGAGCTTAGGCATGGGTTTGGCCAAAGGCCTGGATGTGACAGATTTCATAATTTGAACTCCTGAATGTGCATTCTTAATTTCCTGAGATACTAGAAAGTGGTCTACAAATATTTCATATGCGTAATCTTTTTCTCCCTTTTCTCTGAGGCAGTTGGAAATAAAAGCAGGATTGGGGACTGTCACATGAAACAACTTTTGGGGTCAGTTCAAATATTTATTTTACAGAGTGCAAGAGACACTTAGGTATTGTAGTATGCAGGTAGAGGAAAATACCAACGTTGTTGCCTTTATTCTGACATCAGGATAGTTTATAATTTGAATGTCCTTGACATTACTTTCAAAATATTTTATTTTATTTAAGAGAGCTGTGAGAGAGTGAGTGGGGCAGAAGGGCACAGGGAGAGAATCTCAAGCAGGCTCCACACTCAGCCTGGAGCCCCACACAGGGCTTGATCCCATGACCTTAAGATAATGACCTGAGCCGAAATCAGGAGTTGGACTCTCAATGACTGAGACACCCAGGTGCCCCCACTTTCAAAATAAATTATAATGAGGGTTTTTGCATGATTAAAATATTGTGATACTTAGTTAATGTTAAATTTATTAGTTTACTCCTATAGAATCTACTCAAGCAGTGATCGGGCTGGGGTAGGGCAAATATAGTTCAGGTAAAGACAGATTTTTGTCTTTGGCATCATTTCTGACATTCCACTGTAATGATTTCTAAAGCAAAGATGACAAAGTTTGGTGCGCATTCAGGATTTCTCTCCTCCCAGACATCAGGGCAGACACTACTAATCAGTCAGAGCACTCTTCTTTGAGACAGCAAACAGACTGGGAATCCTCAATGCTGCATTTCTGGTAGCTATGACCGATCAATAGAGGAGTTAAAATTACTTTCTTTGACCTCTTTGATCCAAAGAGGAGCTTGATCCTTCTATATATTTTCCCGCAGCAAATGGAAATTATTTTTTTTAAAAAGGACTATACTACAGACTCGTACTGCTCAAATTTTAATTTGCAAACCTAACACCTAGGGATCTTGTAAAAATGCAGACTCTGATTTAGTAGATCTGGGAAGGTACCTAGAATTCTGCATTTCTAATAAGGTCAAGGTTGCATGCAATGCCAGTGCTAATGGTATGGAGACGGCACTTTGAGTAGCAAGGTTCTCCTGGCCCATTTTCTGGAGACAAAATGTGATCTAGAAAACTCAATGCAACTCAATAACCAAGAAAAAAGAAGAAAAACAAGGCAAGTGTTCCATTAGAAGCTGAAGTTTTATTATAGGATAACAGTACATAAAGCACATCTAAAATTGATGTGTTCAATGCACTTTTAATAAAGGTAATGTAATATTAAAGGTACAGTTTCTAAGTACAATATAACAACATTCATATTAGAATGAAAATTGGAGTATTTAAAAGACAACATTAAATCTCTCTCTTTTTTTTACAGCTTGTATTTACAAAATGAATCAAAATATTTTTTTTTAAATTGAGGACTCAATAAAATAACAAACAGCTGGAAATAAGCAGACTACTGTAAGAGTGAATTGAAAAGAAAACCCAATGTAAGTGAAAAGTTGGATGATCCTCTAATAAAGATCATTAGCAAAGTTTTAGTACAATACTATTTTTAGGATTCCCATAAATGGCTTGCATTTTTAGTGTGGCAGAAAAGGAGTTTTTACATACTGTACACAAAACAGACAGCATATATTTATAGGTACAGTATTACTGTTTCCAAACTTGCATGTATATTTACAGAAGGCTGAGTTTGTTACTCACAGAGTTTTGTGACATTTGTGTGCTTAATCCTTAAGACCTACACACAATTAGAATGAGCATTTCATGTGGTCTTCTTAAATGTGGCTTTATTACTTGGTTGTAGAAGAAAGTGTTAACCATAAGGCCTGACATACTTTATAAATTTACCAAAAAAAAAAAATCCCAGGACAAAGTTTTATTTTGGGCACACTTGTCATTGAACAATTATCAGATGCTGACATGTGCTGGCTGTTGTGTAGACACAAAGAGATACAATCTCTACCCTCAGGAAGTTTAGGATACTAAATGGTGCTTAAAAACAAAACAAAACAAAACAAAACAAAAACCGGTTTCAATCTCTAAGTGAAGCAATAAGGAATGACGTGATTTATACTTAAAAGAGATTTCTCCCTAAACTGTAGCCAATTCACTTTAAAAGGTTAACTCTCAGCATTCGCTTTCATTAACCACATGATTGCATTTATAATTAAGGTAACAGCAACTCTTCCATAAAAATGGAAAATGTCCAGAATTGTGGGTAAATATGCAGTGCACGGAAGCCAATAACCATGGCTTGAGAATTTATTACCTTCAATTACAAAAAGTGCAGTAAACAGAAACATTTGCTCTATATTTATAAATTGCTCAAAAATCTTTGCTAAAGATCTTACAAATTCAGTAATATTACAGAACAATTCTAATCAATATTTAATAAGGTTAACTACATCCTTAGTTAGATATTTGATATACTTTGATCTGTAACAATGCCAATAGGTCTTGGGAGAAGAGGTGAAAGTTTTAAAGTGAAAGTCTTTCACTCAGTTCATGGAACTGGTTGAGGTCATATTAAAACAGAATGTCCCTTGTCAAATTTGCTTTATGGCCCATGTTCTGCCATGATAGTGGGCATCTCCATACTTCCCATGGCTCAGGTAGGAGGGGAAAGTTTCTGCCATCAAGCCACCAAGGATATTTTATATAAATGCCTATTATCTATAATAGGAGCTAAGTACACAACTCTGTCAGGTGCCAATAATATAATTCCTTAGTAAGAATAAACAAAAGTATTACTCCATTAAACTAGAGTGTTTCTTTAGGATCTTGAAGGCCTGGCAAATTATTTTTCAGCTCAGGAGATGTGGTATAAAGCCAAGTAGCAAACATAAAGTAAATACTAATAAATTTTCATATATCCGTATTTATAAACAAATTCACCCGATAGATGTCAAATATCCATACTAAGGAAGTAATTTTATCCTAATTAAATACACTCTAGAATAATTTATATAATGATATTATGTATTTAAAGAGAAAAGCATGTCCCAAATCTAGCACTCTGATACAGCTGCTGGTTGGGAACAGGTAGATATATATATATGTATATATATACAAATATATAGTTATACTCAGTGAAATTAACAAGACCCAAAGGTGGTATTGTCTAGGAATAAAAGGGATTTTTTTTGTTCACAAAAGTAACTTATCTAGCACCACACATCAGAAAAACACAAAAATAGCACACTCTAGTTCTAAACAGCTATGTCTAAAATAGATTATATAGTAAAACCAGTATTATACAGCATATTGTGGATTTGATAAACAGATAAATATTTGCACTGAGTAGGCTGTTTATAATATAACATTTTCTTATCTATACAGAATGAAAGCCAAAAAGTTAACTGTATAGAGATGTGCAGAACAACATTAAATATTATGACTTAAAAGCAGGGACAAAGGTAAATTTGAAAGAAGAGTAAGAGAGAAAATGTTTACAGGCCATTACAAGTTCTTAAGTTAATAGTAAATAAGGAATCAATTGCTCAAGTTGAAGAAAGCAGTAAACAAGAGATTGCATTTACATGCAGATGTCTAAAATTTGTATTTTTTTAAGTCTATGCACAAAAGTCATTTGTTTTATTGCTTGACATTCAGTTATGGCTAGATTATTTAACCTATTTTTTTTTTTTTGTACTTTGGAAACAAGAATATCGTTAAAGGTGCCATAAAAATGGACAACATTGAAAACGGTTTGCAAATAAACCACCTAACACTGCAGTTCTTTATACATATTAAAAGCCTTGTCTGGGGTTTGTCATATGTTAAATATATTTAAACTGGGAAAATATGTTGTAGCTTGAAGCCTCCCATTGGCCCAAACATCCAATACAAAAACACATCTCCGCAAAAGGAGCAGGCAGACAATACAGGTACATTTAAAGAAGCAGCCAGCTAATGTCCTAATGTTTAAAAATTTACCACTGTTTTATATGAGATTTCAAACCACTGTGGATAAGAGGAGAATTTTGGATTCAGGAAGATGTGTACAGTACATACGGATTTTTTTGTGTGTGAAATCATATTCACTATATTGCTCAAGAATTATCTGCATTTACATATGCAATCTGTTCAATAATAACCAAGTTCCTAGAAATAGTATTCATCCATATTAAAATAATGAGTGAGAAAGGAAACACACGGACATTGGAGACAATTTAGTTGCTCTTAGAGAACAATATAATGGCGTGTGCAGTATGTCAATGCTAATAGCAAGCTATCTTTCATTAGTTCTTAGAAGGAAAAAAGTAAAAGGAAATGTGGCAAACACACTAAATGTAAACAGCTAACACAGATTCTATAGGCATCTATTTATTCATATTCAGTTTCATAACACAAGACTCCATGTTATGCTGCATTGCTGAAAAAACACTTTTATTTGGACTGAATATTCTGTCATTCATTTATAAATAAGTAAATGACTGAATTAATTTATTGCTATGAGATCTGAGGATCTGGTTTAACATAGAGATCCCTCTATCTGTGATATTTCCTTGGCATAAAGCCAGGCTTCTGGATTATTTTAAAAATTATTCTGAGAGCCTGACAAAACTGATCTCACACAAACAAGCAACAGACCCAGAAGTGAAACCGATTGCTTTGTAAAGACATTTACAAATCTTCTGCCTTCTCATATCTTAAGGATAAACAATAGGAAGGCCTCTTAATTCAAAGCTAGTGGAACCTCTCTAATAATACTAATGTTTAGAGATAGAATGAAGACTTGTATTATAGACAATTAGTAATAGATCAAGATTTACTATTGCAATTACATTTCTGTTAATCTGATCCATATTATAAAGTTGTTTTCATAGGGTTCTGTTGTATCATATCTTTATAAGAAGTGGCAGTCACATGATATAGTTTGTGAAAATGTCAATAAGCTGTGTGTTTATATATATGCCTATGTATGTGTATATATGTATATATATAGGTGGAGAAAAAGAGAGAGAGAGAGGGAGGGAGAGGGGGAGAGAGAGAGATTTCTGCTGTTTTCCTTAGTCTTTATTATCAAAAACAACAAGGTCAAAGTTTCTTTTTCATCTAAACAACATGGAAAGTTCTCCCAAATTATACTCTGCTATGGGAGTGAGACAATATGTAGAGCTTCTTCTGAATGTGTATTCCAGATATAGAAGAATCAAAGCCAACAATTATACTGAGGTTGACTGACCTTCTGAAAAGTAATATATAGAAACATGAGAGCAAAGCTATATTTCAAAAATGTCCAATGTAACCTAAAAGCTGGATCATGGTGCTGTTATATAGATGGGTTTTGTCTGTCTTTAAACATTAGTTTTTGTATTAATTCAACAAATGAAAACTATAAATGTGGAAGTAAAAGAATGGTGTTATATAGAGGGATTTTTGGGGTTTGCTTTTAGAGGAGAACATAATTAAAATAAGTTATTTGCTGGCATTTGAAGACTTGTTCAAACTTTCACCTGTTTCACTGCACCAATAAGCAGGGCTCTCATCTCATGAGTTGTTTAAACTTTTTGCACACCATTTGGAATTTGGAATAGTTTCTTATATATAATGCTATGAATATATTTATCATGGATATTTTAATTATTAGAGGAAGGTAAATGGAGTATGTGGAAATGCACTTAAAGTGATGTGCTTTTGTTGGTATATTGCCTATGAATAGATCTTGTGAACCTACTGGCCTAACTTTCTACTGCTTTGGAAGTTATTCAGTGTTTTTAACCACACAAGACTGAAGAACACCTATGTTTTGAACTCAACAAATTACGAGACAACAGTGAAGAGTTTACACACACGTACACATAGTTCTACACAGTTCATTTGTGCCTTGAGGGATAGTATTACTTACTATTATTAATAATAAAAAACACAATTTGTCCCAGTAGTACTGGCCACCCTGTTTGAAGAGTTTTAGGAGATCCCTGAGCACATTGTTTCTGACTCTTAACCCCAACTCCAAAGTGATAGGGCTTCTATTGTTGATATCAAGATGGATTGTCATTCACAGTAAGTCAATCATAAGGTGCTTATTTACCCTTTTACCCCCCACCAATCAGCACAAAGAACTGTCAGAAAATAACTTTTATTATTATTATTACGTTAAAATAATATCACTGGAAGGACACGTGATTTAAACAATCAATGTTTGAAAACAGTGGCTTTAGGATTATTATCTGGCTGCCCCTCAACAATAACAAGTGATTCAATCGACATTCCTTAGCCAAAAATAAAAGGCAAAAAAAACACAAAAAAAACCAAAAACCCAAAATCTAAAAAAAAAAAAAAAACCCCAAAAAAACCCAAAACAAACCAAAACTGTACAAATATGTATTTTTTCCCTGAGGGATCAAGGTACACCCGCAAGTGCTCTATGTACATATTGCACTAGAGAGGAATGGAGAACATGTGCAAAAAAGCAACAATGAGAGAAGCTTACATCCTACTTAAACCTTTTCATTCAAGATTCCACTAGGTTGTTTTGCATTTTGGAATGTCGGAACACAAACAGCTATTCCTTAGTCTAAAACTAAAAACACATATTTCTACTATGGCACATTCAATGAAATAAAAAGTTTCCCAAAGACAAATAGACAAATTCCATCAAGAAAATAATACAAAGTTTGTTTGTTTGTATTTTTTTTTTTAGAAAATTACATTACTTTCTTTCTTTGTTTCACATTACAAAATCTTTTTTTTCTTTACACAAATCACATTTTATTGCAGGAATATTTCAAGTGCCATCAAATATTTATAGAAGGGTTAAAAAAATAGAAGTCTCTCTAAAGTGGTCCAGACAAGGCTTTGTATAGAATAAGTCATTTTTTCCCCATCTTCTAGTTTTGATTTAAGTATTTTGAACACATTTTCTTTTCCATTGACACTTAGTAGCCTAGAAGCGGTCCGACACACGCACATCATACACACAAAAACCACGCCCATACCCGAACACACACCCACCCACACACACTCCCTCCTGCTCACCTGGCCCTCAGCCCACCCCATACACTCACAGAGATTCGGGTATCCACACTATAAAGAACAACCAAACTTAGAAGCAGTGTCGTAAGTCATACTTTCCTTAAATTAGGAAGGGTGAATTAGGATGCTGAAGACCTTTTAAAAAATATCCATAGCTTTAACGCAAATTAGGATGCTGAACACTTAAAAAAAATCCATAGCTTTAACACAGTTTGCAAACTGTCCAAAAAGCACTTTCATCTGCACTTTTGTTTTCACTATGACCAAGGCCAGGTTCTTCAGAGTATAATGCAACCATTTGACACCACTGTAACCAAAGGTATTTGGGCTTGTACAAAAGCCTTATGTACTTTATATGAAAAACTGTATAAAAGACATAGCAGCTGGGATAACAATGATGTGATTCCAAACTTTAAAAGACTATCCGATATTTTAGTTTAGGAAACTTTAACTGGTAAGCACTCTTAAGAACAACTGTTCTGTATCACCAAGTATTTTGTGTCATCACACAGGTGTTTCTAGAATAAGAAAGAAAATAAAAATGCAAAGTTTTTCACAGCCTTTTCTGTATTTCATTTTTTAAAACTGAATTTACTGTTTAACTTCAGATCCCAACTTTGATCCAAATCATAGTTGTTCCCTCTGTTTACCGAACACGCCTAGCCTGCCCTGTCCCAACACTGTCAATGTACTTTGTTCTTAAAATCCTCACCTTGCTTTTCTTTCGGAAAGACCTGGTAGCAGCATCATGTCAATGTATCTTGGTTTACTCTAAAAGCAGTGTCACCATGGTGGGACTACTACTGAGACTAGGCATCATTTTTTCATGTGATACATGCAAAATCCCTTCTGGGAAAAGGAATTTCTTTTAAGCTCAACATTATGCTCTCTCTCACCCTTAGAGAAGATCAATTAGCTCTTATCATTTCACAAGTGGACACTGGAATTAGGTTTAGTTGCTCTTTAATGCGCTAGCACCTGAGGCTGGTCATATTCAGAAAGCTTTGGTTAAAAAGAAGTTAATGTACTTTAATAAAACCACCCCCAAATTTAGTGAATCAGAATGACATAAAAACAAGAAAACCCAAACAAAACCAGAAACAACAAAACCTCCCCCAAACCCCAAACCCCCCCAAAACAAAACCACATCATTTCCCCCCACAAGAGAAATAATAGGAAAAAAGATGGACAAATAAATAACTGAACTAAGCATGATACTCTTTCCAGAGTTTAAATACTATTGATCCTTAAAGGAACTATGCTTATTTAAATTAAAATTTTGATAACCCTTCTTGCCCAAATATAAATACTATATGCTGATAGTTAACTTCTCTGTATAAACACTCACATAAAGTTTTCTATACTTGTAAGAAATTTAAGTAAATATTACTTTCGTCTTCTATTTATGGTTAAACGCTTACTATATTTTTGAAACAAAATTTAAGATGTTATTTAGGCTTCATACACACTTCTGTGTGAATAATTCCTTCCTCTTTTCCAAATCCCTCAGGAAACAAGTCAGAAAATCAATGGAGTTAAAGCCAGAGTGAAGGGCTCTGGGAAGCCCGTGCTGTGATCCATGTGACATCAGGAGCCACAATTCCTGTGGAAGATTCAGGAGGGACCCTGGTGGTAGGGACACTTTCACTGCTATAAAAGGCTGCCTGGACACTCCCACCCTTACACTATGGGAAGACGTTTCCTTTTCTGTATAAACATGTTCTTTGATGTCAGACCAGAAGTTTGAATCCTACCTCCAGGGTGACTAAAATCATCTTCTAAATGCCTACATTTCCAAAGGGCACTTATTTTAAAAATATGCACACCTGTATATCAGACTGTTCATTTTCCCTTCCCCCACTGGGAATTATTAAAATAAAAAAAACCCAAAACACGAAATTAAACAAAAACATTCAATATTTCTCACCTGAACACAAAGGCCAAACAATCTTCTAAATATTTAATAAAATAAATTACAGTCCACAGTTTTCTAGTGAAGATAAATACAAGAGTAAATGTTTGCAGCTTAACATCAACTTCACTTTGAATGCTTAAAATATTTCATATTTAAATAAGAGAAACTGGTTCTGCATTGCATGCCTCTCTCGCCCTACTATCCATGGTCTATGAACTATGGAGAGCAATATTCTAGAATTAAAGCATCTAGAGGCAGCTAGTCTAGAACCAGTTCACTCTGAGAAATCCTCTTAGGGTTCCTAGATTATACCAAGAACATAATCATTCACAAAGTAAATGCTTCATGTCCTCACATGGGGAGTGTGTGTTTGCTCCAGATATAATCTTTGGATCCTTCTTGTAATAAAAGCTGAATTCCAATAAATACTTGGGTTACTGATTTGCTCTCAAAGCGTAAGAGTTCCAAGTTTTGAGATGGACTCCATATAACTATAGGATTGTGTAAAATGAGCCTCTCCTCCCTCCCCTGCCTCCATGAGGTGGCATTAAAAAAGCTTTTTAAAAATAATGTGTATCATGGTGTAAGTCCATAGCACCAATCAATCATTCAACTTTGTATGAAGCATAAACACATCTATCTTTAAACTTACCACGAAGCAAAGTATAATTTAGGGAGAGTTCTAATTCCAAATTCATGTGTAAAAAAAAAGAATCCACATCGTGATTTCTAGATATGACCAGCCAGTCTTTTAAAAGTAATTTGTAAACAGCAGCATAAATACCTCCTGACGTACCTTCCAAGCCTTCTCAGTTAAACTTGTGTTTCTGGTGCACATGCGACACGACAGTGAACACGCTAGCATTTAATTTAAAGAAAAAGGTGCAAAATGAAAGTGCCTTATCAATTCAACAGGAAAAGCTACACCAGTAACTACATTTTATATTAATTAAAACAATATATAAACAATATCTCTTTTAGCTATATATAGTCTTCATGCCCATTTACCCTGTAATATATTATAATGCTATTGTTGCTAGTGCTATGGACCCTTTTCATGCCATCCTGCTGACTGGCAATAATCGGTGGAAAAATAAAAACTTCCTTCATGAAACAAAGAGCAAGTTGTGCAAAATAATGCTGCAACCTTCGCTAAGCACACCAGTCACCGATTATTGCTGGACTCTGTTGTTACTGACAGATTGGTGACTCTGCAGAAAGTCTGTGGGCAGTGAGCTACAAGAAAAGGAAATCCTCCGACTTTAGTACCCTCCTTCAGTTGTAAACAGAGGTCAGTGATGGAGAAGTTGAGACAGAAAAAGGGTCCATATCTGTAGGCATAATGGAAATCATATGCATGAGAAAAACAAGTTCAACTTTTATTTGTTTTCATTGTTTCCCCTCCTTTGCCTGACCCCGATCACCAAAAGATGTGCAGTGTGTTGGCGCTCCAGGTCTGCGCAGGGCCATGTAAAGTGTCTCGGTTAATTTTTTTGTTGTTGTTGTTGTTTTTCATGTTTGTACTTCAGACATTCTAGAAGTGCTTAGGTGATACATTTACCCATCGATTTGCATTGCTGGCTCAAATTCTGAAGTGAACAACTCCTTGTATAATGGAGGAAAATGAAGTCGCACAATGTCTGGGTATATTGCTTTAAATGCCATTAGCTTTTCTGTATGTCGTCCACATAAGGCTCTTAACGTAGACACCTTGCATATTAACTGTAAGGGGAAGAAAGGACACGTTGTGAGGCGAGAACAGACCTGAGCATCACAAATCAGGAAATCTGGATGGTCTTACAATGTTGTTTATAATGGCGAAACACACTTGATGCAACTTATGTGTTCTTCAATAAGGAAGACTGGTAAAACACATTTTTAGGCACATCATAGAGTATCAAGTATACATGAAATACAATACTGAAGACAAACAATTTAACAACCTGAAAAGATGCTCACGAGCAAAAGTGGCAGAGTCGAGATGAGAACCCAAGCCTCTCACCTCCTCCTATTCCAACATGCTTTCTGCTCTACTATCCTCAACCCTGCCCTCTGCCACTGTGGAGAAAGAAGACATCTGGTGGCAGAGAAGAGGACAAGGAGGCAGTCATGGGCAGGTGAGGTCACTGCAACTAGAGATGATGGCTTCCCCTACGTATTTTATGCAGCACTAGTACTAGCCAACTCCAATGATGGCAAGTTTCTTCTGGGAGAGCCCTTTGCCTGTAACAAAGCAATTCTGGGTTTGAGCAAAAGGCCCTGAGTAAAAGGAAAAGGAAAGAAGAGTCAGAAGGCCTGGATGGAAGTCTCAGCACTGGCCATTTACCAGTTGAAGATAATAACAGCTTGAAACAATGGTTTTTTTTTTAAACTCTTAAACATCGTACACACTACATATTCTCTCAACCAGAATAATCCTCTCTAAGAAGCATGTTCCACAGGTCATGGATCCTGTCCACATGGTAGGTGCCCTCTATGATAAAAGTAACTGACAGTGCCCTTGCCTTGGGGCAGAAAGTTGGAGAAAAAGGTAAGAATCTGGAGACCTCTTCTTCTGTTTTCTATTCCTGCCTCAATCTCTCATTGAACAGGTGCGAAATAAAAACGAAATAGCGATTATCCCCTAACCTCCATCTCTGAACGAACTTACCTATTGGGAGAAAAGAAGAGAAAGCAGGAAGAAAAACCCAAACCTCTCAAATCAATCTTCTTGAACAATAAAACACATAATATAGTCTAAGAAAGAATAGCACTGATTTTTTTTAAGACCCAATACCTATTAGCACTAGCACTGAAGAATATGAACATATTTTAAATTGATATCCTAATTATATTTTTATTGCAAAAGGTAATAATTAGCAAAAATGAAACCTTCTGCTTTGAATACAGGGTAGTAATGGGAAATTGATGAAGAAAATACAAAAGTCACTTTCTGTTGACTTACTAATGAATGTAATGGAAATAGAATATTACACTTGGTGATTACCCTGCTTGTTTTAGCCCTTTGTAACTTCTTCCTTCTAAATTCAAAGATTCTTTCTCTAATTTATATCAATGCAGATAAACATTAACCCTGTTTTATGCCCAACTAAAAGGAAATAGGAGGAGGATTTCCAGGATGTATTAAAATGCTTAAAAAAATTCTATCATTGCTCTAGTATTGCAGGATACTTCAGCATCAATGACAGGAGAATGGAACCTGAATTTTGGCCCAGAGAATTTTTTGAAATGGAGATATTTCCTTCTTGTCAATAGCTTGTTGCTTCCAGATACTTTTGGAGTCTGGTAAGATGACTTCCAAAGGTGACTGGCAGAGAGATCTATGGCAAGGAATAATTCAGGCTATGCCAGCCACATCACTTTATACGCTTACCTTTGTCAGTATTCCATCTTCTCGGTGATTCTTCTGCAGGACATGCTGAAGAGCTAGCTGAATTTTCTGTTGCAGTTTTTCAATCTTTACTTTTTCCTGCAGCCATGAGCGATCTAAACACGAAAAATGATACTTCTTAGGATTTCTCCTCCATGGTATCGGGACACCCCAATTCCTCTGACTCTTAGGCGCAATTATATCACAATGCAGAGTTAGAGAACAACAGGCCAGTTTGATTCCTTGTTCTAAATTTGCTCCTAAACAATGGAAAGCTGACCTATGAGAGCTATAAAACAGAGTGGCAAAGCTTTTCATTTTTCCTGGTACTTAAAGGAAGGGAGAGTCCTCTCCTTCCAAAAGAATAGCCATTTAAATCTAAGGCCATATTCATACATGGGCAAATGAAGCTATCACAGATGATCAAGTCTTTTTAATAATTATATTTCTGGATAAAATACTCATGGCAATCATGCTCGCCTTTCTGGCAAATATGAAAATTGCCTTATAATCCAAAGCAACTAAAAATGTCAAGAGAATTCCAAATGATTTAAGGTTTGTTAAGATAATCTTTATGTATAAGAAGTCCAAAGAGAAGAAAGTAAATCTGCAAAGCAGATTATCCCCAAGAGGCAGTACTAGTTGAAAACAGATAAATTCAGATAAACTTGTGGATGACATCCAAATGAATCTTAAGAAAAGCAGGATGCTTTAAAAATCATGTTATCTTGAAGATTTGTGTTAAGAAAGGCAGCCCTTCTCTGTCAAAGCATTTCTTGTGATATCAGGAGGTTAACTGTGGACTGGGTTTTATTCAATTCTCATTAAAAAATATTTTTAGTTCTGTTTTTTAATTTTATTTTTAATTAAAAAAATTTACATCCAAGTTAGTTAGCATATAGTACAATAACGATTTCAGGAGTAGAACCCAGTGACTCATCCCCTACATATAACACCCAGGGCTCATCCCAACGAGTGTCCTCCTTAATGCCCCTTACCCACCTAGCCCTTCCCCCCAGCTACAATCCCTCCAGCAACCCTCAGTTAGTTCTGATATTTAAGAGTTTTTCATGTTTTGTCCCCCCTCCCACTGTTTTCATACGATTTTTAAGAAAAATTTAAATTTTACTTAAATCCAAGTTAATTAATATATAGTGTAATAATGATTTCAGGTCAATTCTCATTTCTTTTTTTTTTTTTTTTAATTTTTTAATGTTTATTTATCCTTGAGAAAGTGAGAGAGACAGAGAATGAGCAGGGAAGGAGCAGAGCGAGAGAGGGACACAGAATCTGAAACAGGCTCCAGGCTCTAAGCTGTCAGCACAGAGCCTGACACGGGGCTCGAACCCACGAACCGTGAGATCATGACCTGAGCCGAAGTCGGACGCTCAACCGACTGAGCCACCCAGGCGCCCCTCAATTCTCATTTCTTAAGATTTTCTCAGAATGGCATGAAATCTTCTTAAACACATGTACATATGCACGTGTGTGGGGGGGCTGTTAATTTAGAAAAAAAAAAAAAAGATTAGATTTATTGACGGTGGCAACCCTTCTTGGTAGGCACCTGAATATTCTATAGCCATTTAAAGTTATATACCTTGTAAGAATTCTTTACCTGACATTTCATTATCATTTGGTTCTTTTTTTTTTTTTTTTTAATTTTTTTTTAGGAGAGAGAGAGACAGCGTGAGCAGGGGAGGGTCAGAGAAAGAGGGAGTCACAGACTGAAACAGGCTCCAGGCTCTGAGGTGGCAGTCAGCACAGAGTCTGACGCGGGGCTCGAACCCATGAACCGCGAGATCATCACCTAAGTGAAAGTCGGACACTTAACCGACTAAGCCACCCAGGCGCCCCAATTATCATTTGGTTCTTACCTGCTGACATTAGTACAAATGCAGAAAATAATGCAATTTCATCTTCGGTCAGGTGCATAGAACATAAACTCTTTCCAAATTCAAACACAAAGCTAATAAAGTCTTCACAACCTGCCAAAGTTAAAGACAGTTTAGGATTTTGGTTATTGTATTAGGAGAAAAATATAGAATAAGGTGAAGAGGGATCTCGTAGTTCAAGATCTATGGGGATAGTAATAACAGATCTACAGTTTAACAGTTTGAAATCTTAAAAGAAAAATCTGTTTAGTCATCATCACTAACACCGTCATCATCATCAATAATGACAGTGGACTTTTGTTGTAAGATTACTGTGCTGTTAAGTAACATTCTAACAGGTATCTTATTGCTTTACAACAGCTCTATGAGGGAGGTATTATGATTGTTATCCCCATTTTAGAGGTGAGGAAACAGACTTAGAAGAATTATGCACTTAAGGTTATATAGGTAGGGAGTAACACCCTGAAGTTCAAAGCCACGCTGCTCGACTTCAGAACCCACGATCTTTTTTTCTTTTAATTTTTAAAAACATTTTATTTATTTCTGAGAGAGGGAGAGAGAGAGAGAGAGAGAGAGAGAGAGAGAGAGAACGAACAAGCAAGCAGGAGAGGAGCAGAGAGAGGGAGACACAGAATCCAAAACAGGCTCCAAGCTCTGAACTGTCAGCACAGAGCCTCATGGAGGGCTTAAACCCATGAACAGTGAGGTCATGACCTGAACCAAAGTCAGACACTTAACTGACTGAACCACCCAGGCACTTCCAGAACCCACTATCTTAACCAGTAGAGTCAAATGGGCACAATCTAACTGAAACATTACATTCACTGACTTTTTGTTTTCTACTGTACTTGATCTAAAGCATCCTTAAAAATGATAACAAATGACACATTATGGTGGTAAAAATCATTATAGCTATTACCGAATTGAAAACATAAAATGTGAAAGTCCCATAAACAATAATCCATCTTCAAGAGATTGGTTAAGTTTGGTGTCTACTCTTTTGGATTTGCATATTATGTATACATATTTAAATGGCAACGGGGTTTACTAAAGTATACACACCTTCTATCATTTAACTGTTTTTAAAATCATTTAACAACATTATCTTGGATAGTGCCTCATTCTTCCTAAGGATTATATCCCATTTTAAATTATAGGAATCCAAAATAATTAATTTTTATAGTACATGTTACAGTTTCACCAGCAATACTTTATTTCTATGGTATTTGCATTTCATTCTTATTAATGGCTTTTATTTGAGAAGTACAGAATGGCAGACATTTAGTTCTTTACTTGATTTTATGTATCAAATCACATCCTTTTATTTATTTTAATAATTTATCCTATGAAAATCGGGTTCTTAAAATCTGGAAGGGAACTGGAAGGTTAGACAATATAAATTTCTTCGATTTCCAATTAGATAAAAGAAAACACTAACCCTTTATTTTTAAAAAAAATTTTATTTTATTTTATTTATTTAAAAAAATTTTTACATTTATTTATTTTTGAGAGACAGACTTAGATGAATGAGGGAGGGTCAGAGAGAGAGGGAGACACAGAATCCGAAACAGGCTCGAGGCTCTGAGCTAGCTGTCAGCAAAGAGCCCGATGCAGAGCTTGAACTCATGAACCATGAGATCATGACCTGAGCTGAGGTCAGGCACTCAACTGACTGAGCCACCCAGGCACCCCTATTTTTTTTTTAATTTTTAAATGTTTTATTTTGATTTTTGAGAGAGAGAGAGACAGTGTGAATAGGGGAGGGTCAGAGAGAGAGGGAGACACAGAATCCGAAGACAGGCCCCAGGCTCTGAGCTAGCTGTCAGCACAGAGCCCAACGCAGGACTCGAACCCACGAACTGAGATCATGACCCGATCTGAAGTCGGATGCTTGACTGACTGAGCTACCCAGGTGCCGCAACACTAACCCTTTAAATGTAAGACAGACAAAAAGCATTTGAGCTGTGTGCATTTTCTTCAGTGACTATAAAGTAACAGAAGTATAAAATCCTTTCATTTTGGTTTCCAAATAACAGCCTCCATTCTGTTCAATAAGCTCATTGGTGGGGCTCCCACATTTTCCCATGGCCCCGATTTAAAGACAGAGCAGCCAGGTTTCCTTACCCAAGGACTTGAAGACATCAGGGCTAGCATATTTCCCATCGAAGTACACGGTGTTGTTCTGAGAGTCGAAGGCACGGCACATTCTGATAAACACCACCTCTAGAGAACCTAAGCAAAGGCAGAAATGGTGTCGATTATTCTATCGTAGTGAATAGTCATGTATTTTGAAGGCACAGATGGAGAGGGCCCTTTCTGATTCGGCGCAGCAGAGGTTGTATTTGGCGAATGGCTCCCTGTCACATCCACGCTCTATTTCCCGGCAAAGTTCACTAGTGGAATTAAAGATTTGTGCTGAAGCTAACAAAGGACTATATTCCTGAAGAGGGATGGAGTTACAAATTACTTGTCTGGCATTCTTCTGTCTTGTAATATAGAGTCTCAGAGTTGCCGGGAAAACTTATTGATTCATATTTATTAAAAAAAACTAAAAAACCAGGGGCGTCCCTTTGAATTCCACAAATAACCTTCCTAACAACTTACTGTTTGCTCCCGAGGGTCTGGATGGGGGAAACGAAACGCAGGTGATGGTAAGATGGGGGGATGCAGGTGTCCTTCAATTTAATTGTTTTACTCCGAGAAGAAGCAAAATGGAGGCAGTGTTTCCTGCAGATCACTCAAAAACCTTTAAAAAGGACTCAGTTTCTGCTAAGGGAACCTGAGCTATTATCGTTGGAGGAAAACTGTTCTCGACACCTTCCTTACCAAGCATTTCTTTAATAAGTGAGTGAAAGCAGGTTAGGAAGAGATCTCAAAATTCACTTGCAAAAAAGCACATACCTGCTTTGAGAAGCACAATTTGATCATTTTGACACAGTTCCATAAATCCATCAATGCGTTTGGCAAACTCCACCACATACTGTATAGCCTCTGTGATTTTGATGGCACACAACTGCCACATCACCTCCCGCTGCTGTTGAGCGAAGCACATTAACACACACAGTTACCCACAGCCTTGACACACTTGTTTTACCTGTTCCTATTTTGTAAAACCCTTCTTTGGAAATGGACTCAAAAAAGCTAGAGGACTAAAAATGAATCGTTTGGGTTATAACGATTGCTTCCAAGCCCCTTCTCATCTCCTCCAATTCCTCCTTTACCATTTTGGTGACAAAGGGACAGAGGAAGATAATATGAACAGGTGAAAACATGAGGCAAGAAAGAAACGCATGCCACTGCTTTACTGCTGGGCCTTGGAGAGTAGCAACGTAGGACCTTCTTTTGAGCAATTATTTTACCCTGGGGAATTTAACACCACTTTCCGGGGGGGAGGGAAGGAAAAAGGGAGTCAATTACATTTACTGTGCACCTGCTTTGAGCTAGATGCTTCATGACACCCTTGTCTTGTTTCTTTTTCCTAAGAACATTTTCCCATTTCCCAAAAACGGACATGAATGCTCACAGAGGTTTCACAGCTGGAGGGGTTGGAGCTGGGATTCAAATCCCAGCATCTCTGACTGTGAATCCCATTTCACATGACTTGCTGTTTCTTCCTGCTTTCTGGTTTCCCTTTGTAACAGTGGCTGGCTGCTGGTGTTATCTGCTATCTCAAAGGCAAACCAATGGATGTGTTGCTGTTCTTTCACCTGTCCTTTTTAACTGCTTTTACATATCCACTCTTTAGTTACAGGGTGACCTCGATCTGCTACATTGCTCGCGTGCTCCCCTGATCTTAGTTTAAGACTATTTCCACCAATATGATGGGGTGAAGGAAACACTACATTAGGAGCTATGAGTCACACTCTAGTCCTGATATTCTCAATCCTCTGCCATATGCCAAGGGTTGTGGGTAACCTCATTTGTAAAATGAAGGGAAGGAGTAGCCTGGATAATTTCTATTGTCATTCCTAGGCTACCTTTCTATAATTATTAGGAAAAACCACAGGGAATAATGTTTATTCCCTTTACCAAGCAGGAATGGATAACTGAAACTTCCTCTTCTTCAGCCCTGCCCTCCCATTCTGGGGGCTTGTTGATCAGAGTGTGTAAAGAAAATGGCAAGCAGTAGCACTCTCAGCCTCACGTTGCTAGGTTCATACTGGCGTTATGGCAATAGCTTCCAAACCTTGTTTTGTATACACTCTCTAGTGCTCTGGAAACATGAGGCTGAGATTATTTTATATCAGCTTCCAGACCATGAAATCTTCCACTGTGATATCAGGACAAATCTCAATTCATTCAGGCTTTTGGACACTGCCTCCTCCAGCCCCCATGGACATATGATAGGTGATATGTGGAAAGTCACAGCACAACAAAATTGGTTTGTTACTGCAGAAATTTCACACACTGGCATCTCAGTAAGACAAAGCCCCAAGTATATGATCATCTCTAGGAGGAAGATTTAAAACAAACATTTTTTAATGTTTATTTTTGAAAGCGAGAGAGAGAGAGACAGAGTGTGAGAGGGGGAGGGGCAAAGAGAGAGGGAGACACAGAATCTGAAGCAGGCTCCAGGCTCTAAGTTGTCAGCACAGAGGCCGATGCAGGGCGCGAACACACAGACCGCGAGATCATGACCTGAGCCGAAGCTGGATGCTAAACCGAGCCACCCAGGCACCCCTCTAGGAGACAGATTTTTAAACAGCCATCTGATATCTGATGAAAGACATTCATTTTCTAGTCTGTTTGTATTCTTGATCAGATCTCTAGCACAAACACCCTTCCCACCATTGCCTCAATTCTGGGTAAAATTCTTCAGAGTGTACCTTGTTTTGGTAGCTCTCTATCTCCTCCTGCAGAAAGGTCTGCCACGTTATCTGCTGGAGCTCTTCTCTCAAGTATTGGCAGGTTTCCAGATGTGATTTAGATATATTCTGTGCAAGGTGTTCTAAGAAGAAAACAGATCACAAACATGAAAAGCCAAGTTCTTCTTTGGATAATCAGGGTTTTCCCTACTTAATATTTGGTTTAAAAAGTAACACATACAAAACAACATGCTGAACCAGTTTTCATTATCTTTACATATTTAAATGAGCCATATGGAACTATTCTGTATTTTCGAACATGAAGATGAAGGACAGGCAAACCCAATATTTAGCAATAAGTCTTGGTGACGTCAAAGACGCTCCTGACCTTGATCTTCTTCTGCGGCCTTACACCGTCTGAGAGTGAACAATTATTGACCTGGATAGGTTTGGGAAATGGCTGACACAGCTTCTTCTTGGCATTTTTACGAAGACACACCTGCTGTATACATTGACCTGGACAGGATTACTCTTGAAAAATTGGGAAACGGGATGCTTGTGTGAAAACAACTATTTATTTCTTTCATTTTCCCGGAAAATAGCACAACAAACATTACTGAGGGCCACTATGCCATTATACATAATGTGGTGGTTAAGAGATGGACTCTGGTACCAGACTGCTTGTGTTTGAAACTCAGCTCTTGCATCCACTAGCTGTATGACCTTGGGTAAGTTACTCAACGTCTTTGTGCTTCAGTCTTCTCGTTTGCAAAAGCAGTACCTAATTCATAGAGCTTGTAAGAATTAAATGAGTTGAGCAATTAGAACAGGGAGGGTCACCTACTGATGTGCTACCTAAACATTTGTTCTTATTATACTGGAGTATAGGCGGTTTGAAGATACAGATGCCAAAGAAATTTCTCTAGGAATTTATAATCTGGTGAACATGTATGCACATACTAAAAGGACAATTCAAGACATTAGGCACTTCGGCACCAAGTTGAATTATATCGGAAGAGACAAAAAATCACAGGTACTATCATGGATGGGAAACGTGAGGGGAATTAGAGAATGCTTCTTGGCAGGAAGAAGCATGTGATGTGGTCCCTGAAGGATGAGGAGGGAGGATTTGGCAGGCAGAGGCCAGTGGTGTGAAGAGGTGGGCTCATTCCACATTCAAGGAAATGACAAATGAAGGAACAAATGATGGCATGTGCAGGGGACAAGCAGATGTGATAAAGTGATAGTAGCAAAACAGAAACATGAGTAGGTAAGAGTCCAAGTTCTGGAGAATCTTGAATATTAGGAATTTGGGTTTGGACCTGCTTCACAAAAGGAGTCTGCAGAATTCTCACGGGGGAGCCGATATATTGAGCACTGTATCTGGGGAACAGAACAGGCAGTTTGTGACTAGTGGATTGGAGCAGAAGGTGGAGGCTGGGGCATCACTGAAAGGCTGCTGCAGTCCATAGTGAGGAACTAAGAGCATGAAGCAGGTTGGTAATAAATGTTATGGAAGGGAAGGACGATGGAAGTATTTTAAGAGAACAGACAAGATTCTGTGACTATGAAACCATACACAAAAGCGATCCCCTTCCCCGGTCTTGATTATATAACAGGAAAGCCCTATAAAAGAATGGTGTTGAGTGAAACCTTGGCAATCCCAGTAAAAGCGTCTGTTTGGGAATTTGTTACTGCTTTCATCAGACAGAATCAGACTTGTTTTTGTGAAAACAGAGTGGGTTCACCTAAGTGAAGCTTGAAACCAGAATCTCCTTAGAGACTGAAGCACAATAAATCTTAACAGTCGTATTTTGCAACACACAGACATGAACACAACATAAATAAATATCATGAAAACAAAACAAACAGAAAGAAAAAATATTAAAGGGAAGAGGCAGAGAGACACTGACCAAAAGAGGGAGAAGCCAATAAATGATATGTCTTAGAATCAATGAAGCTTATGGAGAGAAGAGGGGAGTAAGGACAAAAACAATGAGAAGCCAGAAATAAGAAAATAAATGTGTAAATAATCTACCAATTTTTGCAGATATGAAAAAAGAAATAAAGTGTTTGCAGGGAAGCCAGGAAATCCTATGAGATAAAGAATGGGAAGAGGCTCATAGTAATCCCTTCCAGGTCATGCTTCTTTTCCAGTTAATATGGTGAGCATCTTGTTTCACTTCATCCTAAAAATTGTTCCCACCCTTCCCTGCCTATTGGAGCTCAAACAAGGAACGGTGTAATGTACACATCGAGCCAGTAGAGGGCAGTCCCTGCATTCTCACCAACTGCCTTTGATTACAATTCACAGTTGATTTGGCAAGTGTAAGATTTCAGACACGACTATTTTTAAATCTCCATTTCAGCAAAGGACAATATGGTCAGACTGAGTAAAAGTTAAGTTAGTGTGGTTTCTTAGAGAAACAATGGAAGGGTTAGGAGACCTGGTTTCTGGTCTGAGTTCAGCAGATAACCCAGTTTGTGATGGGCAAATCAGTACCTTCTCAACCACGATTGTTTCCTCAACCCAGCTAAGGTCTAGGTACTTCAGAGGGACAATCCTGACTTCTCAGTCACAGATTTTCGTGGTGGGAAGGGATTTTTGACATTGCTTGGTCCAACTTCTCCTCAGTTTACAGATAATAACACCATTAGTAATGATGGTAGCAGTTAATGCTTATATAGCTCTCACTATGTTCTAGACCCATATAACATATATATATATACACATATATTCTGAGCATTTATATTTTCTTAATTTTCATAACAACCTTAGGAGGAAGGTTGTTATCGCCCTTTTACTGAGGACGAAATCAAAAGTAAAGTGGCTTTTCCAAGGCATCATAGCGGGCACAGGCTGAGTGATTCAAACACACCCAATTTGGCACCAGAGTCTATGCTCTTAATCTTTATATTCTATAGGTAGGGAAACTGCAGCTTGCCGAGGTTACAGGACTTATAACGGGTTGTACTACCAATAAACAAGCTAGGACCATAAACCATATAAGCTGACTTTTTGCCTAGTGCTTTGTCCAATGATTAGTTGTCTCTTCTGCACAAGGCTTTACTTATCAATTATAGTGACATGTGCAGCTAGCTTTTTTTGTTTGTTTTTTAAATGAGCTTGGGTTGTTTATCTGCAATGTGTAATTCAGGTATTAACTGTACATCGAGGGCAAAATTTCCTAGCCAGGAATGCAGATATATTTCCACTAAAAGTAATGGATTGTAGATACTATTGTTGAAAGATAGAATTGAGGTTAAGATATGTCAATTTATAATTTATTCTCCAACTGTATAATTGGTTTCACTTGTTTAAAATCTGATGACAAAATTTAGCCTACAATGAAGTCAAGAGTGTTAGTTAAAAAGATAGTAAGACTGGAGTCACTATATTGTACACCTGAAACAAATATAACACTGTATGTTAACTACACTGGAATAAAACAATATATATATGTATATATATATACATATATATAGAAGGACTTAAGGCCCCAGAGGACAGATCAGGGAACCCCAGGTAGCTTTGAAGAAGGAGCACCAAAGTCTTTGGCCACTTCTATGCTATTCTTAGCTCCCCAAACTATTTTGTACATGTAAATGGGAAAGAAAAATAGAACCTAATTATATTCTTTTCAGACAAATTCTTGTTTAGTTTTGGGTTTGGGACTCATCCTAGTGACGAGTTAATTTTACTCATTCTGAAAAGGGCCACGGTACATGTGAAAACCCCCTAATTTAGGAGAGCATGGAGAACATATGAGGCTACAGGGCTGCACAGGGAGGTGACAACTATGGAAGATGACACAGACTTGTGGGGACAGGGAGAACTGGCTTGGCCATTTCTGGCTTCACTTAAGTATTAGCGCACCTTTAGCCCAAGTGCCATATTTAAGGGCAACGCTCTGGCTAAGCCCTACGGATTTACTTCAGAGTTGACTATTTGACAAGCAACAGGCCAGATTCACTAGTATTTATGATAAGGTGGGAGCACACCAAGAGTGAGCCAGGTCATTTTTCATATCATGTCAGCTTTCAATCACATCCGTATTCATTTCTGAAAATTTCACTTTCATTACAGTCTTGCTTAAGTCTCGGCCAGCCAAGATTTCACGACAAAAACGGAAGGTTTTTGTTCTAGTTCAAGAAAAAAATATCAAACCTACCTCTGCTCAGCTTGGCTCCTAGTTCAGAGGTTCCTCTGTTAATCAAAAGAGCTGCGATACACCTTTAATGCTGTTCAGTGGTTAAAGACTGAGCTTAAAATGTCCCTGCTCTTGAGGATTTAAATTTAGACCCATAAAGAGGTGCTTGTGTAAAAACCGTAAAGAACATTCAATTTGTTCTATTTGGAGAAAGATTTTACTGGAAATATAAATTTCACTTAAAATGTTTTATGGGGTACAGAGGTGGAGAAACCATCTAAAGAACACAAGCGTCATTTCTGTGAACTAAGAATGTCTGTGCTCAAGTCAGAACCTGCTGGTTCTTTTCCATCTGAAGTCTCCATTCTCTCTTCGTGTTAACTTAGTCACCTCCAGAGCAACTAATTGAAATATCCCAAAGGACTACAGCCTTGTGTGAAGAATCATAGGGACGAGCACATCAAATTCTAGGACTGCAAAGTTGCTTACCAAAGTTTCTCTAATAATAGTGTTGTACCTAAACATCGATCAAATATTGTAACAAGGGTTGTTAACACAACCTCCTTGAAATGGCAAGTCTTCCATTGCCTGTGTTATCAATATTCCTAGGTCACATTTCCCAAAAAGCAACAACGTCACACATGAATTAGGAAACGACAAGTTTTGTTTTGTTTTGCATGGTGAATCTTCTTCTATGAAATACATGTGTTGTCACCAATATCCATCACCAAACCATTTTGGCAAATAAAGACGCCAATTTCCCTTTAACATTTATGGAATACATCAGGGTTGCAAAACCTAGATGACACAGGAGCTGGGCAGTGACATAAAACGGGAAAACACGTAAAGGTGTTAGGGCCTAACTGGGACCAGTTGCTTATTGTCATTCACAAATGCTGGTCCAGCGTAATTAGATTTTTTTCCCTCTCACAGGAGCTAAACATTTGAACTTCTCAGCAGAACTGTCTACGTTTAAAAGTTTTGCAGCTGATTCAAAAATCTTAAAACTCTGCTCTGGTCAAAAAACATGTGTACAGACCAGTTCGGGGTATGGGCTGACATTTTTTTGACTTCAGGTATAAAGAAATACCTGGAATATAACTAAAGAAAATAATGAACAAAATTAATAGGGCTGTTCCTTGAGCTTATAGTTTCTGTGGAATTTAAACATTCATGCTCTTCCATATCTGATGCTCACAGGTCAATGCGCTTCTTGGATATGCGATGGGAAATAGGGCATAGTCAAAAGCAAAGGGGCAGGGTGGAAATGTGAAGTGGCCCAAATGGCAAAGGTGAACTGCTCTTCTAGTTTTTAAATAACGTAACTCATTACAGGAAAGTCCAACATATCCCATTTACTTGTAAAGGCATGAGTAATGCATCACAATGGAAACATGGAGGCCATTACCTAATTCTGCCATGGACACAGTCGGGGAAGTCTCTCCATTGGTGAAAGAACAGTAGGGAAAGAAGCCTGATGCTGGTGTGTAGTCACATATTGGTTCTGGTTTGATTCCATTGATATCAAGACCTGACTGGTCTGGGGAAGGCTGTATGTCCAGGTAGAAGCTGCTGACAGCAGAGTCAGCCTTGCCCCCCTCAGGGGTGTGCCCGTCAATGTAGTTGCTGAGGTCCTCGTGAAGCTCTGTTAGCCCGTTGGCAGAGATGTTGTAGGTCGGAGTCAGCGGCTCAGCCTCTCCGGGCTGCTGTTGGTGGTCTCGCTGCTGCTGCTGCATCCGGTGCTTCTGTACTTCCGCGTACAAGCTGTCTCTTTGCTTTTTTGACATTCGGCCAAATTTTACAGCTGGAAGAAAAAAGCCAAACCGCGCCATATACAATATGTTTTTCTTTATTACTCTCTCCAGCATGCTTTAGGGGTTCCTTTTAAGTCTCGTCTCGGACAATCTCCATCAAAAACCACACAACCGCAAAATGAGCATATGATCCAGAGGTGAAAACAGTCCCACCCCGCACAGGCCTGCTCCACACCCCGGAGGAACTAAGTTTCAGAAACAGACCTAGGACTGGTGGAAGGGCAATGACCACGTATGTTCTCCTGTCACACAGTCCTACGCGCTCAGTGGGAACCACTGATATGTGACCTAATGGGCTTGTTCATTCTCTACCCATGCAGCCTGCCTAGACCACCTCTTTCTCTTCCCAAGGTTTAGACCCGCGTACAGGGATGCAGACTCACAGAGGTACATTGAAGCACAAGCAGCCTAATCTCAACTTTCATTCATTTCACGCATTCATTCATTTGCTCCTTTTCAATCCAACAGCCCGAGTCTGGGGCTTTGCTGAGACACCTAAACAGACTGGATGAGGTCTTTGCAATGCCCGAAATTATGTTTCTGAGTCTACGAGACCTAAGAAGCCCCCTCTCATCCTCCCGGGTCAAGGTGACCCCTGTGAAACCCTTGGGCCCATCATTAAGTGACTTTCTGCTGTTGTCATTTAGCTTCCAGTAAAAAGAGTCAGAATTTTGGGAAGGGCAAACACTGTGCAAGATCCCTGTTGGGCAAATTTGTGTTTGCAAGTGTCTCCTTGTGATGTGTGCCCATATTCAAGTAAAGCAATGAGCGTAGTAACTATCCAGTTCATTCAGAATCCCAAACGATCTCTCCTGAAACACCAGATAACCGATAAAAGGAGCCCTATAATTTCCAGGTCCGAACGCTCCCACTAACCCATTTACTTGTCAGCCTGATTCTGTGTATGCAGAGAAAGCCTCTGCTGGAGGAACTAAGATCTACTAAGTGATTATGGTTATATTAATACCTGATTAGGTGGATAAATGCACCCACATGACCATCATTATAATACCATGAGTCGAGGGGCAGGAAGCAAGATAGATGCAAATGAAGCTGGGAACCGGGGCCACCACCTAGACCAGCTGGGAGATTCATGTTCTGCCAGGGAAGACATGCTGTTCCTTTATACAGAGGAAACAAGGGATTGGGATCTCGGCCCGTTTCCAGTTTCCACGACTCAGGTAACAAACTTGGGTGGGGCTGGGTAGGCAGCGAGCAGGCTGTTCTGAGCTCTAGATTTCAGGCCTGTCACTGCATAAGCCCCAACATTCATGTCAAACCCACAACAATGTGTGCTGCCATATAAGTGCAAAACAGCCAAGAGGCATACTGAAGGTATACTTTATTTTTTTAAAAAGAATACTCTAGAATACCCAGAGGGACTGATAACCATAGGTGTACACACACCTTGTGTTCTTAGCTTACAGGTTCATAAGAGAAATGCCTAACTTTGTCAGTTTAGAGCCATCGGAAGATGAACTCTCCAGAGGTGCCGATCATAGGGATTTCTGAGAATATCATTTCTGTGACTTGCATCTTCTTTTTTAAAAAATTTTTTTACATGTATTTATTTTTGAGAGAGAGAGTGAGACAGAGTGTGAGCAGGGGAGGGGCAGAGAGAGAAGGAGACACAGAATCTGAAACAGGCTCTAGGCTCTGAGCTGTCAGGACAGAGCCTGACGCGGGGCTTGACCCCACAAACCTGTGAGATCATGACCTGAGCTGAAGTCCGATACTTAACCCACTGAGCCACCCAGGCACCCCTGTGACTTGCATCTTCTTATGCCCCAGACTTTGTATTTTTGTTCCTACACATTCTAAAAGACCATCCTGTGCACCACTACTGAAGGATATCACAACTTATGCCTGGGCAGGTCTACGGGCCCCAAGAACATCTAATTAGGGGGAAAGACAGGCTTTCAGAATGCCTGCCCAGTGTTCTGAAGTAATTCCCACAGACTGTAATTCCAATGAAAGAGAGGTTTCCTTCAAGGGATCTCTTAAGAGAGCCAGACAGCCTGTATATTCATAAAAGTATCCACTATATTTTCTGCCCGGCTTCCCCATATAAGAACAACTGTCTTGAAATCTGGGTTTGATTATTCCATGTACTTAAGATAGTTTTACAGGAAGATCTTGAAATGTTTTACATTTGAAGGATCTATTTCTTAACATGCCTTCTTTTAAGGCAAAAAAATTTTGTCATTGAGCCATGCTTTAAACTGTTTTCACACATTCTGTGTATGTACTTTTTCTTTTGAGATGTATTTTAATTTGCTGTTTGATTTCTTATTTGGCCCATGCTTGTGCAGTAGTGTGTTGTTTAATATGTACATATTAAATATTGAATATTTACATTGTAGATTTTCCAGCTGAGTTTCATCATTGATCTTTAGTTTTGTACCATTGTGGTTAGAAAATATACTTGGTATGACTTCAGTCTTCTTAAATTTAAAATATTTGTTATGTCTCTTTTTACGTGACTTAACCAGGGGATTTGAAGAAACTTAAAGAAAATGTGTATTGTATTTTTCTTGGATGGAATATTTTACATATATCTCTTAGAACCATGTATTCTGAAGTATGCTTTTAGTAAAAAAATGTTCTTGTTGAAAAAAGAAATAATAACTTTAACTGAGGGCACTCTTAAAATAAAATAAAGCCTATCACAGGGGAGGCAGGAAGAGGGATGGGTTAAAGAGGTGATAGGTATTAAGGAGTGAAATTGTCATGATGAACACAAGGTGTTGTATGGAAATGTTGAATCACTATATTGTACACCTGAAACTAATATAGCACTGTATGCTAATTCCACTGGAATTAAAATAAAAAACTTAATAAAAAATTTAAAACTCAAACATATGACTTTGGTACGTGATTCAAAATAGTCAGTTAACATAAAAGCTAATTCATTCCAACTGCCAATAAGCTTACAAGTATAAAGCATGTTAACGATTAGCTCCGGCTTATATTTCTTACTGGGGAAAAAATGCCTATATGAGGTATATTTATTTAGGTCCTCAGATGACACTTACTTTCAATCAATTCATCAACCTGTAATGTCTTCAATGTCAAAACTTTGAAGGTGTTCTGACCACACGTGCTTCTCTTCCATGCCGCTCCCATCCCCAGCTGACTCCAATGGATTACAGAGGAGGAAGTAACCATTGTGGACCCCACAAAGCCACCAGAGAAGGTGGGGTGGTGTAGGGGAAGGGGAGGGACAGAGGGGCCATATTTGGGCAGCTCTGGGTCCAGGACTCAGAAGGTACTTTCAGGAGCCCTTATGACTATACAACTCAAAGTACGAGGGCTCACCATCTCGAGACATCCCCACGGCAAGGCATTTCTGTAATCGACAGTGTTGGCAGCGGTTTCTACTGGTTCGATCAATCAAACAGTTCTTCTGACGAGGACAGGAGTAGGTGGCATTGCTTTGCTGACTTCTCCTGAAAAAGCCCTGTGATTCGGTTATAAAATATAAAACAGGTTAGTGTCGGTTTGAGCCGTTTGATACTGAAGGCAGTATACTAAGCACTGAGCAGCATTAATGTTTAATGGAGAATTAAAGTTGTAGCAGAATCATCCATGAGACTATTAATGAAATTAAAGTCACTTCTGTTTCTTGGGTAAAATTGATCCCCAGAGCTTAAGCCTCTGTCCCTTACACACACAAAACTTTCTTTAATTCCAGCAGACAGTTGCCTATGTGAAAGGCATAAGATCAGGCCCTGTTCTTGGCTTCTGAGGACCAAAACCATGTGCTTGATGGATCAGTACAAAAGCACTTATCTTTAACCTTTCTCTCCAAAATATTTTTAGAGAAATAAACTCAAAACACTTCTCTGGGATGTCCAGAGATAAGGAAAATGCTGCTTCAGTCGAACTCATGGTGACTGCAATCCTCCTACCCTGGGTAATCACACTAGCGCACTTAACTCCACCATACTCCAGGCATCTTGCATTTCTTAAGACAGAATCTACTGCCCCAAGAACTTAAATGACATTTGGATGGATGATCTTGGCAGATCAATCAGAATGGGAATATTCCTCAATCCTTGACAGTTTGGAAATACCATGTGTCCAGAGTTATGGCCTTTATTTAGCAAATACAATCTGATGTTCTTCAAGTTCTACTTATTTGTTAAGCATTGTTTTGGAAATGAGCGGGTATACAAAGATGCCAAGGAGGTACTGATCTCAAGGATTTCATTCATTCATTCATTCATTCACTCACTCATTCAATTATTCATTCATTCACTCATTCATTTATTCATTCATTCACTCATTCATTTTTGCTAATTTCTTGAGCTGAATTCTCACTACATCATTAATTTTCAGTGTTTATCATTTTCCCTAAAGCTGCACATTTTCCTTTTCTTTATGTTTCAGAAGTAACCCACACGTTTTGCTATGTAGTATTTTCATTACCATTCATTTGAAAGCATGCTCAAATTTTTCAATAGATTTCTTCCTTAATACATTATTTAGAAGCACATTTCTTGATTTCTAAACCTAGGGGGAGGTTGGGTGCATTTTTCTTGTTGACTTATCTCTTAGTGGTTTCACAAGCTGGGGAGGTGCTGAAGAAAAGGAAGGTACCCAGAGCCACGAATGGTACAAAGAGTACTACTATCCTCAAATCCTTAATGTTAAAGATATGTGACCCCAATAAAGGGGATGCTAGGGGAGAGGGGAGAGGTAAAATCCTGAAAAACTGACAGAGTAGTGGACAAACTGACAAGGGTACCTTCTGGCCAAAAGATTTTTCTGGAGGCCAATTTGGCAGTGTATCAAAATCCTTGCAAACATGTCTATTTATTAAATCAGTAATTATCTTTTAGGGAATATATTTTAAAGGAATATTAAGAATGGTATAAAGACTTATCTATGAGGATGTTCATCGTATACATCTGTAATATAAAAATAATTTAGAAGGATGCTAAATGTCCTGCATTAGTGAATTGGAAGAATAACTGGATATCCATACATTCAGAAACCATTAAAATAGTTATTTCAGAAATATAATTATTGACATAAAAAGGTGATAAAAATAAACATCTTTCTGTTTATCTGTATGTTTTGAATTTTCTACAATATGTAGGTGGAAAGTTCTGTGAACTACTTGGGAAGTGCAATCTCGTACATCTGCTTTCTTTTGTGATAGGTGAGTGACTGTGGATTAAATCAATGGATATGAGGGGTATGACCTTAGTTCCCGCTTCTTTGTTTTGGAAGTCAACCTGGAATGGGAGGGGCTAGGGCACTGACCTAACACCTGCTCCTGGCTCTCTGCCAAACCACTCACTAACCTAAACATGAGCAAGGCTGAGGGTCCAGGGTCTCAGACTGTCTGTCTGATGTGCTTTGAATCTCCCTTATATCAAGTCTGGCCTCTTTTGTGAAGCAATCTCTCTTTTCTCAAAAAAAGCTGTGGGCTTTTCCACTTGTTTTGTGTATTTTTTTTTCTCTGTGAAAAGGAAATGAGAAGCAGTAAAGCTTTCTTTCGGTCTTAATGGAGAGAATTCAGGAAAATATAAATGGTAACAGAGGCAGATAATCCTTAGAAAGAGATACCAAGAGGTCACCTGGCTAGGTATTCAATTTGTCTGAGATACATAATCTCTGTCAAAGCTGAGAGGTGTCTTTTTCTTTCTTGAGACTCTACCACCATTCAGACCCTCCATGTTGGCTCTCTGTACAGGTGCCTAGGATCAGGAATTACTCGCTTTCCTTAGTTGAAGCTGAATTTTGTTGCCTCACAATTAACCTGCACCGTTTTGTTCTATGATCACCGACTACGGAGAATGTCTGAATGATCTCCTTTTTATTTAAATGGAAGCAGTTCTTGTGGATGGATACCCTATCTTCCAATACCTCACCCGTAAACCAAACCACAGCATCTGTCACCTTTCTTTCCCACCTTAAGTGTTTCTTCTCAGAATCCTCTCAAATTTCTCTACTTCCTTCAAAAATATGAAATCCAGAACTAGACACAGGTCTTGAATAATGGCTGGCTCATTAACAGAAAAGGATGCTAGTTTTTAGTTTCCAGTTATTAAACTCAAATTAGTATCAACCATCACCAGTAACTTCCAGAATGCTTGCATAGAAGCTATCAATTTGCTCTTCTACCAGGGAATGCTGAGAGAGGATGGTGATGGTGATGGTGATGATGATGATGACAATGATGATGACAGAGAAATTTTAATGAGTACTTGTATTAACCATATATTTTCCATACTTTTTATGCTTTGACATCTTGAGAACTTGTGACCCAGAGACATTACATATTCCAGGGCTTGCTAATTCCTAGGCATCTCTAACAACTTACCTGGGAGCACACTTTTCATAGGCAAGCCAACCAATCCAGAGCCTATATACCCAACCACTTCACTCTACAAGGCTCTCACACTCTGGGCCACTATGGCCCTGCCCAAATTACCCTAGGACCAGGTACCAGACAACTCAGGAGCCAGAGTTGGCTAAAATCATGAAAACTAGCAAACCTTAAACTTGCTTACACAGCCCTGCCCATAACTTCCTAGGGGAAATCACAACAAGGCTTTTGCCCACATTTTCAGCTTCCTCCCTCAACCTCTGGCTGATCCTGGTACTTCCCACTGTGGTCTCCCCTGCATGCCATGCTGCGCCTCCTTTTCCTGAGGACCTGTGAGTATAAAACCTTCATTCTTCATGACATTTTTGCGTCTGTGTGTCTTATCTATCTGATTAAAACAAATCTAAGGTTTTGTTTTTCTAAAAATTTTTAAATGTTTATTTATTTTTGAGACATAGACATAGAGCATGAGCAGGGTAGGGGTGCAGAGAGAGGGAGACACAGAATATGAAGCAGGCTCCAGGCTCTGAGCTGTCAGCACAAAGCCCGACACAGGACTCGAACTCACGAGTCATGAGGTCATGACCTGAGTTGAAGTTGGACGCTTAACTGACTGAGCCACCACAGTGCCCCTAAGGTATTGTTAAAACAGTGATTTTGTTCTAGGTACCCTGTGCTTTATGTGGATGACATCATTTAATTATTACAAGGGCAATATGAGGGAGGCATCATCATTTCCTTGCTTTTAGGTACAATGACTTGCTCAAAGCCCCACCTCTAGAATGGGGTAAAGGCAGGAGATTAAATGCACATGGCTTAATTCCAGAACTCACACTTTCATCCTTTCTTATTTTTCTGCTTCCCTTGCATGTCAAAAGGATTCCCACTTGGCTGTTCTCATAGAGGGCAACCATTAAATTAGGCAAAGAAACAGATACAAATAAAGCAGCAAGACTGATATACTCTGAAATTGCTGTTTTCCTTCAGGTTAGCCCCTTTAGCAGACTAAAGGGCCCTGCCCAGGCATTTTATAGAATTCTCTTCTATAGCCACCTCCCAATGTGGGTTAGAGTCACATGAGAAAACCAGTCTCATGATCTCACGATTTTCTGACCAGAGGATATATCTCCTGTTCACCTTACTTATTTCTAAATTACTTTGGCTTATTTGGAAAACAAGCAAAACAACAAACAACAGCAAACTTACTTCAAAGACACCAAGCCATTTAAAGACATCTGAGTAATTATGCCATAAATTGCAAGGCAAATCCACGAAGCATTCCACATGTGCTCTGAGCAACAGCACTGAGGCTGGAACTAATGTCTGGCTTCCAAGTTATCAACTTGGAAAAGAACTATACTTCTTTAGATGACTCAGCTTTGAAGGGATCGGGGAAAGCAGGAGAGCAAATAGATACACCTTGCTCTTCACACCATTTATTCTTCATTGAGTAAGTTGAGCAAGTGCCTGCTGAAAGTTCTAGGAGTGGCTAAGAGCCAGAGAAGAGATATTCCTTTTGGACTAAGACAGCAGTCATGCCCACAAGGAGAGCTATCACATACCAGATGGGATGGGTCAGGTAGGGTTATAAGGTGAGAGCCATGAAGGGAGAGAGAGGGTAAGCCTGTATGACTCAGATGAACACTGAACTCTGCATTTCAGACAGAATGAGAGCTTGGTCTTCTCCTTTCCTTCCTTTCCTTCCTTCCTTCCTTCCTTCCTGCCTTCCTTCCTTCTATCTTTTCTTTTCTTTTTTTCTTTCATTATCTCTTTCTCTCTCTCTCTCTCTCTCCCTTTCCCTCTCCCTCTTCCTCTCCCTCTCTCCTCTTTCTTTCTTTTTCATTGCAGCATTCCTTGAGGTTTCTCAGAGGCTTACGGATTTGGGAAGTTAAACTGAAAATATTTAAAGCTAAAGAACACATAAGGATGAGGAAGAAAGGTAGAGGTAGAAATATGTTCATAGATGTAAAAGCAGGATCTTACTGACTGGGGAATAATCCTGTAGAGGGTCAGAGTGAGAAATGAGTGAGCTGAGACACAAGTTCTAGGGGTTGGGGAGTTTGGGGCCACACAGAGAGAACGAATACTACAAGCCAGTTCATGGAGCCTTGGGTAGAACT